CCTCCCCCTCCCCCTCCCACTCCCCCACTATTTTTCATACATTTTGTTATTTTTTCCTTGATCAAGAGGACAAATAAGTGAAGTTAGACTGAAAAAATCAAACTAAAATCTAAGATTCTTACAATCAAATCAGGGATGGGGGCAAATTCTACACTGATGAAATTAATTTGAAATTCTTCATTTTTTTTAAATTTCCCAGATAGTGGGAAGATCTGATAAGTTTTGGAAAACCCATCCCTTATCTTATACTAAACAGCAAATGATATATCCTTTTTTAATTTCAAATACTCTATTGATCGTAGCCTAGGTTTCCAGTGTTATTGGTTTCTTAGACCCTTACCAACTTGGATTTGCTTAAAATAACAATCCCACCTGATATGTAGATCAATAGCTGCAGACAATAAATCTTGAGCCATAATTCCGTTGTTTTTGTTTAGTGGCTTGCTTACCATTTTATGGTGAGGTTATTGCAGTACGTACAACTTGTGTAATGAGTGGTTTCCTTCCTTTTATATGAGTGGACTCATTGATCTTGGTATAAAATTTTAATGGATCTCAAGTGAAATTTGGTAAATGTTGGCATAGATTTAAATTTATAGATACAACCAAACCAGCTCATGTGACCAACTCCATATAGAGACCATCTGTGTTAAGAGACCACTTTTAATGTTATCCATTGTAATGATTTCATTGTGATCTGAACCTGTATAAGGTAACCACCTGTGTTAAGGGACCACTTTTAATGTTATCCATTGTAATGATTTCATTATGATCTGATCCTGTATAAGGTAACCACCTATGTTAAGAGACCACTTTTAATGTTACCCATTGTAATGATTTCATTGTGATCTGAACCTGTATAAGGTAACCACCTATGTTAAGAGACCACTTTTAATGTTCCCCAGTGTAGTGTTTTCATTGTGAACTGAACCTGTATGAAAAGGCCACCTGTATAAAGAGACCACCTGTGTTCAGAGACCACATTTAATGTTCCCCATTGTAGTATTTCATTGTGAACTGAACCTGTATTAAAAGACCACTTTTTGGAATTCACACTCTACTGTATATTTTTTGCATTCATTCATCTAACTGGGATTGGCAAATAAATATATTAGTTCAATAACAAATGAATTTCTTTTCTTCCTCAGGGAGCTGAGTTTTACACGAGATTTTGTACCAGGTCTAGCTCTGGACTCTGACCGTACACCAAAATCCAGAGAAAACACTGTGGTCAAGTTTGATGAAAAACAAGCAAGTAAGGATCACAGTGTTGTGTTCACTATTCACTCTAATGAGGTTCTCATCTTCCCTACTAGTTGTAAATAATACCTGCACTTGGCAACAATTTCTTAACTACCTGGTTCTAAATTTTACGTTAATTTTCACCTGCTGCAGATTCAGGGACCTATAATTGGCAAGGCCTATACCACTGCATGTTCATATAGGGCAATTAATTTGGGACACCTTGTAGAGTCAAGGTTGTTTTTCGTAGTGATCATTTCTGACACATATCTGAATCTGATATCAAGTACAGGATAGCAAACTGATATGAAAATTAGTATAAGAACTTAATCAATTAACTCATTATTTTGAACTTTTTTGATTCTTTCCAACTTTCAGATGGAGAGAAAAATCGGAAATCTTCTAGACGGAGTCGGAAACATGTACCAGTTTCGGATGTTGAGGAAACATTCCTGAGACATGCCAGGTAAAAACTATGGGCACTGGAAAATACCTCATGTTGATAAATCATTGTATCTACCCTGATAAAGGTCAATAATTGTACAATGGTCCATGGTATCTACCCTGGTCAATAATTATACAATGGTCCATGGTATCTACCCTGGTCAATAATTGTACAATGGTCCATGGTATCTACCCTGGTCAATAATTGTACAATGGTCTATGGTATCTACCCTGGTTAATAATTGTACAATGGTCTATGGTTTCTACCCTGGTTAATAATTGTACAATGGTCCATGGTGTCTACCCTGGTCAATAATTGTACAATGGTCCATGGTATCTACCCTGGTTAATAATTGTACAATGGTCTATGGTTTCTACCCTGGTAAATAATTGTACAATGGTCCATGGTATCTACCCTGATAAAGGTCAATAATTGTACAATGGTCCATGGTGGCTACCCTGGTTAATAATTGTACAATGGTCCATGATATCTTCCCTGGTCAATAATTGTACAATGGTCCATGGTGTCTACCCTGGTCAATAATTGTACAATGGTCCATTGTATCTACCCTGGTTAATAATTGTACAATGGTCTATGGTTTCTACCCTGGTTAATAATTGTACAATGGTGCATGGTATCTACCCTGGTCAATAATTGTACACTGGTCCATGGTGTCTACCCTGGTCAATAATTGTACAATGGTCCATGGAATCTACCCTGGTCAATAATTGTACAATGGTCCATTGTATCTACCCTGGTTAATAATTGTACAATGGTCTATGGTTTCTACCCTGGTTAATAATTGTACAATGGTACATGGTGTCTACCCTGGTCAATAATTGTACAATGGTCCATTGTATCTACCCTGGTTAATAATTGTACAATGGTCTATGGTTTCTCCCCTGGTTAATAATTGTACAATGGTCCATGGTCTCTACCCTGGTCAATAATTGTACAATGGTCCACGGTATCTACCCTGGTCAATAATTGTACAATGGTCCATTGTATCTACCCTGGTTAATAATTGTACAATGGTCCATGGTCTCTACCCTGGTCAATAATTGTACAATGGTCCATTGTATCTACACTGGTTAATAATTGTACAATGGTCCATGGTATCTACCCTGGTTAATAATTGTACAATGGTCTATGGTTTCTCCCCTGGTTAATAATTGTACAATGGTCCATGGTCTCTACCCTGGTCAATAATTGTACAATGGTCCATTGTATCTACCCTGGTTAATAATTGTACAATGGTCTATGGTTTCTACCCTGGTAAATAATTGTACAATGGTCCATGGTATCTACCCTGATAATGGTTAATAATTGTACAATGGTCCATGGTATCTACCCTGGTTAATAATTGTACAATGGTCTATGGTTTCTCCCCTGGTTAATAATTGTACAATGGTCCATGGTTTCTACCCTGGTTAATAATTGTACAATGGTCCATGATATCTTCCCTGGTCAATAATTGTACAATGGTCCATGGAATCTACCCTGGTCAATAATTGTACAATGGTCTTTGGTTTCTACCCTGTTTAATAATTGTACAATGGTCCATGGTATCTACCCAGATAAAGGTCAATAATTGTACAATGGTCCATGGTATCTACCCTGTTCAATAATTGTACAATGGTCCATGGTATCTACCCTGAATAAGGTCAATAATTGTACAATGTTTCATGGTATCTACATGTGTGACCTGATAACGGTCAATAATTGCATAATGGTCCATGGTATCTACCCTGGTCAATAATTATACAATGGTCCATGGTATCAACCCTGGTCAATAATTGTACAATGGTCCATGGTATCTACCCTGAATAAGGTCAATAATTGTACAATGGTTCATGGTATCTACATTTGTACCCTGATAACGGTCAATAATTGCATAATGGTCCATGGTATCTACCCTGGTCAATAATTGTACAATGGTCCATGGTGGCTACCCTGGTTAATAATTGTACAATGGTCCATGGTATCTACCCTGGTCAATAATTTTACAATGGTCCATGGTATCTATCCTGGTCAATAATTGTACAATGGTCCATGGTATCTACCCTGGTCAATAATTTTACAATGGTCCATGGTATCTACCCTGATAACGGTCAATAATTGTACAATGGTCCATGGTATCTCCCCTGATAAAGGTCAATAATTGTACAATGGTCCATGGTGTCTACCCTGGTTAATAATTGTACAATGGTCCATGATATCTACCCTGGTCAATAATTTTACAATGGTCCATGGTATCTATCCTGGTCAATAATTGTAGAATGGTCCATGGTATCTACCCTGGTCAATAATTGTACTATGGTCCATGGTATCTACCCTGATAAAGGTCAATAATTGTACAATGGTTCATGGTTTCTACCCTGATAACGGTCAATAATTGCACAATGGTCCATGGTATCTACCCTGGTCAATAATTGTACAATGGTCCATGGTATTAATAGAGATATTGTTATTGTATCAACCCTGATAAAGGCTAATGATTTTCCATTGCTGTTGGGTTAGAATTGTTCTGAAACAGAACTGGACTCTGTCTATTGTCGGTGCCTAGAGTTCAGAGGGTCCCAGGTTCAAATCCCAGTCTAGCCGTGCATTTTCTCTTTATCCTGTCACAAAATTGGCAAACAGGCCAACCCTTGTTTCTAGCACTGGGCAAATGCTTGGCAGGGGGATAACTGAACCTGGGTTGTAAATAGTTGTGCCATCGCGGTCAAAGACTTTGAAAAAAAGAACGAGGAATGTAACGGAATTGGACTGGGTCGAGGAATGTAACGGAATTGGACTGGGTCGATTGTCGGGGACCAGGAAGTATTGGCGTATAGAGCGTCCATCTGGAGTTTGGATGGCCTCTGGTTTGAATCCCAGTCTTGCCGTGCATTTCTTTCCTATTACAGTTCATTGACACCTGGTAACAAATATCCATGAACATCAAGTAACAATTGTTCCCATCTCATGTCTCTGTGAGGTTAGTAACAAATTGTTAATACTCCCGTCTTGTCTAGCCATGATACAAGAAGATGTAAACAAAATATTAAGTAGGAATTGGCGTTACATGTTTACCTGTTACAGAGCCCTCTCTGCCCCTGTAAACTACGAGGAGTACATGCGACACCCAAGGTATGTCGACTTCGACTTGTTATTTGGGGAGGAGGAACCAGACACACATGGACAAGTGTACGTCACGTTCCAGGATGAACACGTCAGTGAAGAACAGACGGAAAACGATGTAAAAAACCTGGAGGGGCGTCTCAAAATGTCTATACAACAGCTCAAGGAACAGGCTCTAGGCTCAGTAAGTCTTCACTTAGCTCAACAGCCAGGAAGGTGTTAGACATCATCGAATCCCTGTCGTATTCATGGTCATTGGTTCAACTCTGTTTCTGGGATGATGACATTTTTATTGAGGTAGTTCCTTAGCGAAGGGGTTCAGTTGAAGGGACATGGATGAATATTTTCACTTCGTCTCAATGGTGAATTCAGGATTTTAGTTAGGGTTAAGAAGTTATCTCCTCTTAAAAACACACTGTAATTATTACCAGTAATAAACAAAAGTTTAGGGACAAGACATTTATCTCTTGGCCAAGCTTCGATTTATGTACATGTATGTGTAGGTAAAATAAATAAAAGTGGAAGAGTTGTTGTCGGAAAAACACTAACATCACTGTTCTTTCCCAAAACAATGAAGAGAAAACTGATATAGGCCTAGCCTGCTGTTCAATCCTATTGTTTACTCAATAAGATATGATGAAATGAAACAATGAGGATGACAATTTGATGATAGTACCACACTAATCGTATGATGCTCACATGTAGTCATTCTGATTGGTACAGTACGGAGGTATGGAGGCTTACAAGGAGTTCCTTAAGGGAACCGCGGGTGACCAACTCGTCAACTTCTGGCTGGACTGCGAGTATTACAAAGACACAGTGGAAAATTTTGACGAGTTGTCTAAAAATGACCTCAGAAACAGACTCTTCAGGTAAAGATAGGAAAATATATACATCTCCTTCAGGTAAAGATAGGAAAATATATACATCTCCTTTATGTAAAGATAGGAAAATATATACATCTCCTTTATGTAAAGAAAGGAAAATATATACTTCTCCTTTAGGTAAAGATAGGAAAATATAAACATCTCCTTCAGGTAAAGATAGGAAAATATATATATCTCCTTCAGGTAAAGATAGGAAAATATATACATCTCCTTCAGGTAAAAATAGGAAAATATCTATCTCACAAGTCTGGTAACTTTGCATAAGTGAAGTGTTATTACAATACACATTATATTAGACTATTTTCAGTGTCGGGCCAAAATTTACAGTCAAGAAATCTCTCAATTCACGTTTGATTTGTTATTATGTTATTTAGACATTCAAAGTTTGTTTAAAAGCTTGCAGTACATGAATTCATTCTATTTTAATTTTGTCAGGGATATACGGGACCGATATAAGATGAATCTGACGGAGGACGCCAGAAACCAGATCTCCAAGACTGCCAGTAGTGCCAATCTGAGCCACACCATCTTCCTACGTACCCAGTACGATGTACTGCGGAGGCTGAGGGCCTACTGGGTCCCACGATTTCTCATCCACCAGGAGCGTCTCCGAGAGTTTAGGTACAGGAAATAAGGCTTCTTTCTTAATTTTAAATAATTTGCTTTTGAAAATTTCTTTGGACTGCTGAAGATAAGGTAAACTATGAGCAAGTTATTAAATTCCATCATATTTATTTATATCTCGGTGGGTTTTTTTGAGAAATGATTGGTGCCTCAGTGTTCAGGTCACTGCTTTGACTAATTTCAATGACCTGATGACAATTTTGTGTTATTTACATTGCAGAGGAATTGAAATGTGTGTCACTGTGTCTATAATCGGGATTTGGAACCCTAGGCTGATAAAACGCTAAAGTCATAGACTTGTTTTTATTATTTATTAAATTGTAGTACATAACAGTGTGAGTCAATAACTCTACAAACTTGCCGGTTTGTTTATTTTTTCTGCAAAAAGATGGATAAATTAAATGTCATAGCAATTTTCCACAATGTTGTCTTAGAGACTCTCGAGTACTTGAAAACTGCAGAGTTGGTTTCAAACAATTAATGTGATACAAAGTTATTGATATATTCCTCATAGGCAACTAAGCATTGATTTGTTGTCATAGTGATATTGGTGTTGGCATGGGGATTACCATGATGGCCAAGTTGGCTAATGGAACGAGACACTCCCTTCCATTCTTTCCATCCATCTCTTTGGTCAACTCCATGGCAGTCCGTCCAGACGATGTTCTAACCTACTCTAAAACAAAGAATTGGGAGTATATAAGTCAAGGAGGTCGTTGCCTTGACAACAGAGTGACCTCCGCAAAGGTCAGACAGCTGCCGCCTGCAAGGTAGGTTATTATGGTATAATTTATGGTATTCTGTATCTTTGTCTGAGATACGAATTGGTCTGTATACGCTATTCCATATTTAGACTCATGTTGATGTCTATAGATAGCATTCTATATTTAGATCCCATTAGAAATCATGTCTGGTGTTACTGTTGTTTTATATTTAGACATGTTATAAGGATGATTTTAGCATGTACCTGCATGTAGCTACCGTAAATACTGAAGGAACTATTATAAACTTTTAGAGATTTCTTTCTTTAGATATTCTGAAGTTTATTAGCAATTCTAAATAAGACACACATTTTTAAAATAACATTTTATTTACAGTTAAATTAAAATTTCAGTGTAATTTCAGGGGTGGGGGGGGGGGCTGGCGGCATTTAACAAGAGGGAAGATAAATAATTTACAAATTTACAAATTGAGAGAGCAGGAGGTTTAAGTTTGGAGTGTAGGGGATTTGATTGTTAATACTTGAAATATTTAAAATCACTTTAAACTATGTCAATTATTGCTGTCTGTATGACAGGAATCAGGTTTAGGGTATACATGTATTTGTAACTTCATAAATGCTTGCTGCTTATAACCTTTGGTGGGATATGGGTTTATAATTCAGGACTAATATTAATGTGACGATCAATTTGCTTTCTTTATCTTACCAGTATACATACCCTGCAATATATTTAATATATTTCAAAAAATATTCTGGATCAGATTTGGAAGCTGATTTAGTTTTATTGAATATGCTTCTGACTTTATTAGTTCAAACTAAAACTGCAGATAATGGAATTACACCATGCACAAACTTCTACGTTTATATATGTAAAGCAAAAATAACAAATGAGCAGTGAAGAGAAAGGTGACATGATCTTTATCAAAATATTGCTCTTGAAAAATTGAAAAATGTATTTTTATTTTATTTTTAACAATGTAAGACTTTAAGAGCAAAAATTGAGATTTACTATTAAGAAAGACAAGGTTATGATAAAAGATCTAAGATCAAGTCATGATAGATCTTAGGGTTAAGGTTATGATGAAAGGTTTCAAGTCAAATCCGGCTCGTATTAATGAAACCGTTCTCATGCTCAAGCTTAGATTCTCAAACCAACTTTCTTGTAACTCGCTTAAGTTATGTCAAACAATCAGAAAGGCCAATGTCAACATGTGCCGTGACTCGAACCCGCAACCCTTGGGTCGCGTGACCGGTGTCCTACCAGTAGAACACCCTGCCTCCCAGACTTGAACAAGAAATTTGGCCTGAGCACAAAATCTATGCTTGAGCATGAGAACAGTTTAATGAATACAGGCTTGATGAAAGATCTTAAGTCAACATCATGATAGGATCAGAGATTTTAAGTAATTCCATGATGAGCGATTTCAAGTCAAGTTTATGGGACAGATTTAAAGTCAAGGTCATGATGAGAAATTACTATCTATAACCCACTCACAATACATGTACACGATTACGGATTTCATTTTTTTTTTTTCAAAGTCAATTATGAAATGATATTTGTTGGCTGTTTGTGCTCAATTTACAAAGCTAATCACAATTGGGTTTTGGGGTAAATTGGGGTTTCGTTTCCATGGGAACAGGGTATTGTGGTGGCTGCTATATGTAAACAACTAAAGTGTATGTGTTCTGTGTCTTCTTTTTGTGACAGAATTTTGTATTCACGTTCGACAAGGTTGGTAAATGTCTGCACCCTGCATTGTGAGAGTGAACACTAATACCTTGTTTAGCTCACCTGAGTCAAACGCTCAAGTGATCTACTGCCATATTTTATCTGTCTGTCCATCTGTCCTCTGTCTGTACGTCTGTTATTTGTCTGTCCATCTTCCATGAATTTTTTTGCCTGTGGTTTCTTGAAGTCAGGACCCTGAGGCTATAAAAGAGGAAACACACTGAGGTGATAACTTAATAAAAATGATATGGATTTAAAAAATCTTCTTCTTAAGAACTCTGATTCCTAGAGATACTATAATTTTTCATATCTTGATTTTTCTGTAAATCAAAAGTAAAAGAATACCATCCATAGATGATTGTGTTAAGCTATAAGAGTCATTTTCTCCAGAACTGTGAATGTCATATCATTGATATTACATACCTAGCATGGTTGTGAATGTCATATCATTGATATTACATACCTAGCATGGTTTTGGGGGCAAGCTTTAGATTTATTCAATTCAGGATCCTTTCTTTCTTTTGAGTTGAGTTATTAAAAGTGTATTGTCACATTTTTTTCTGATAAGGAGTTTTGAATCACAAAAGGAACTGTGGCTAATTTAAGAAATAAACATAGGTAACACTGTTACAGGTATGGAGCTTTTGTGATCTAATTCAGAAATTGCACAATATGATGGTTCAAGTTTTATGATTTTCTAGAGATGCAGACATGGAGTTTAATGCTCAGTGAGCCAGTTAGGGTTTTATGAGTGTTAAGATTCTGTAATATCAGAGGTCAAAGGTCAATGTTGAAATAGGTTTTAACTTTATATGAGTTGAGATTGTGTTATTCTGGAGGTCAAAGGTCAATATATATGTTAGAGGTTTATATAGGTTTAGTTTAATTCTATGCCAGAGGTCATAGGTCAATATGCTTAACCTAGATTTATATAGGTATTTTGATGATGTAATAATTAAGGTCAAAGTTCAGTGTACCAATTAAGTATATATATATAGATATGTGGTGAGATATACTGTAATACTACAGGTCAAAGTTCAGTGTAAGAAATGGCTATCATTTATTTGAGTTTCAGGGTGAGCAATTTTAGGCCCTTTGGACCTCTTGTTTATCTCCTGTTTCTGATTATTTGAAACACAGTTTGCAGTGATGTATAATTATAATGTTATATTAATTTCAAATGTTTGAACTTTTGTCTTTTTCTATTCCTGGCATTTATGAATGAATATTTTTTTTGGTTTGAAATTATGCTGATCTTTTTGAAGTAATATTGGGACAAAAAGAGATCTACTGAAAGTTAATAACAAAACTTCACATTCTCCACAGATATTAAGAAATCTGTAATTACAAATAAATGTATAAATATGCAGAATATGAATAAATGACATTTTTATCTTCCAAAATTAGAACATAAGTGTTGGTGTGCAATTACTAATTCGTTAAATATTAATATATAGTAACTTTAACCTAAATGCACATTTATTTTACACATTTTTGTTGATTTAATTTGGAACATGATTTCTGGGTGATAAACTGGCTGTTTTCAATCTGATCTGCTGTCTTTTTAATGGCTGATTGATTTGCTAATTTGATTGACATTTTAACTTTATCAGAGTTAGATTGAAAACATCGTTAATCTGTTAATTGTTTGTTTTCCTGAAAAGTTCATTGATAAATTTGAGATTTTTCTCCTTCTATTAAATATGCTGTTTTTATCCAGAATCCAGAAGACAGCCAGTAACCTAGAGAATATGTCACTCAATTTTTAAAACTTACTAATTCATAATATATACTGCTCTGTACATACATGTTGTTTCTTTCGTCCTATTTTGCTATGAATTATTTATGCTATATATTGTATCATCAGTGTCTTAGTTACCATATTACTGAATTATCAATCACCTGTGTTATTGGTGATTTTATTGACAATTTGATCAATTTAAATTATGAATGGTGCTGATTTGAAAGAATTTTTAATCAACTTTCAAGTAAGGTAACACTACTTCACCCAAGATTTTCAGGTTTCTTAAGTCATTGTAATTGTTCATAACTTTCCCTGTCATCGTGTTTACAAATAGCTATGGATATAGTTCATGACTCCCTGTTGCCTTGGTTACAACTTCATATAAATACAGCTCAAGATATTTTCTGTAACATTGGTTACAAATGCCTAGATCATAACTCTCCCAGTTGCCTCAGTCACAAGTATAAGAGTTTTTTTGTTTTAACTCATTCACCCCTGAAATTTTATTATATATTTCAATATACCAACCTTTGAATTGGGTGAGTTCAAATGTGTATTCAGGGGTGAATGAGTAAATAGGATTTAATAGTATAGTTCATGACTCTCCCTGTCACCTTGGTTACAAATTCTTGTATATATATAAATATAATACATTTTTACATGACTCTCCACATATCTTTTGGTTAACACTATAAAGTTCATGACTTGTCCTGTTGCCTTGGTTACAGCTGTATACATATTAGGTTCTCAGCTCTCAGGTTGCTTTTATTAAAGAACTGTTTTAACTTGCTGTTTTGGTGCATGACTTTATGCGTTGCCTTAGTTACAGATGGTTCAGTACTTTCCATATTGTCTTGATAACATAATTAATGACATTCCTGTTACCTACAAATGGCTCATGATTTTACCATTTACCACATATAGTTTTGACTTCCTGTGTTGCTTTATTGACATTTGGTAATGAATCTTCGGGTTACCTTGGTTACCGTTTACTGTTGCCTTGGTTACAGGATTGGTAAGAATCGTTTCATTATGGCTCTCATGGGAGACAAAGTGGCAGGAGGACCATTTCAGCGATTCTTAGACAGGTAGTAAAGAATTCATATGTACATTGTGGAAAAGGAAAAGTGTATTTTATATTATTTATGATTGAATCTGAGAAACTTTATGGAAGCATTCTAAATATATACAGAACGAGATAAACTTTCTTATAGCTTGAAAGAGAATGTATGAATGTCACCTGAAAGTGTTAAGAATATTCACTGTAATATTTGATTTAATAATACCTGATTGAATTTTCAATAAATTGTAATTATTTCTAATATAATGGTAAGAATTAATGATCAAATTACATTTGCATGAATCTATATTTTAGACAAAGTGACCGTCTGCTTTTGTCCAACCTGCTGTTCTGGCAGGACGTAACAGAATATGGTCAGTCTGAGGACCGGTCAGCTGACCGTCTGCTCCGACTCTGTCATGCCTGGTCAATCTACAACAAATATCTACTGCCAAGTAGTGAATACAGTATCGGTAAGTAAGGTTGTCTCTATATTACGGAAAATTCTGTGCTGAATTCTATCCTATTCTGCTTATAATCGCAGAATCAATATACTGGTTCCACATTCAATGAACAATTAATATGACTTCCAATATTTCTGTCTTGATTTTGCTGTAAATTTTTAAGTACACTAAAGCTTAAAATTGTAAATTGTGGGTGGTGCAGTGCACGTGGTTAACGCAAGGCAACGCGATCAGATATGAAAGATTGTATGGAACCACCTGCCCGCTCACCTTGGTTTTCTCCGGGTACTGCAGTTTCCTCCGACGTTAAAGACCCGCCACAGTTACTATCGAGGCCAACAAGAGCTGATTTAATTATAATGAAATAACTTGTTTCATAATTCTTGTAAAATATATAAATTGTAAATTGTGATAATATTTTGGTTATCATAATTTTAGCTCACCTGGCCCGAAGGGCCAAGTGATGAGCTTATCCCATGGTGCAGCGTCCGGCGTCCGGCGTCCGGCGTCCGGCGTCCGGCAACTTTTTCCTTTAAAATGCTACTTGTCCTGAATGGCTCAAAGGATTTTGACCAAATTTGGTCAGGAGCATCATTGGCCAAAGGGTTCTCAGTTTTGTATAAACGGAGGGTATAACCCCCCTGGGGGCAGAGGGGCGGGGCCAAATAGGGGGAAAATAGGTAAATCTTTAAAAATCTTCTTCTTCTCAACCAATAGAAGGATTTTGACCAAATTTGTCCTAGAGCATCTTTGGACAAAGGAGACTCAAGTTTGTATAAACGGAGGGTGTGGCCTCTTTGGGGGCAGAGGGGCGGGGCCAAATAGGGGAAGTAGAGGATTTTTTCTCTCCTACTATACAAGTGAAGGGATTTAAACCAAATGCAGTCTGAAGCATGCTTAGGGAGAAAAGAATCAATTTTGTTTAAACTGAGGTGTGTGGATTCCCCTTCTTTGGGGCAGATTAGTGGGGCCCATTAGGGGAAATAGAGGAAAACATTAAAGATCCTTCTCCTTCTGTACCGTTGAAGGGATTTTAACCTAACCAAACTTGTTTTAGAGAATCTTTGGGCAAAGGGAATTGAATATTTATAAATGGAAGATGCAACTTTGTTACTTGTACTCCTTTGATAAACCTGAATGGTACTCAGCAGGTTTTAAATTGAAAAATAAAATACCAGGTGAGCTATTAAGGCCCCTGGGCCTCTTGTTATACTTGGCCCTAATTTGTAAAAATATAGTGGTTTTGAAAATATAACCACATGTATTGTTGAAAATTAACAAAAATTATCCTGTCTAAAAATGCCCTGATTTGTGGTATGTTAAACTAACATAAATTGTTCGATAAGAGTAAAATATCCAACACATAGTATAGGCCTATCTGACAAACTGTTTGATTAGAAGTGTTATGGACCATACATTATAGGTTTCTCTGAAGCTGAGAGGGATGAACTTCACGCCACATTGCTCAAGGCCAAAGACTTTGTGGAGGCGTCTGTGTTCAACATGGCCAAATTCCACTCCATGGAGCGTCTAGAACGAGCATGGATGCGTTACCTCCAGGAGGACCTCAAAACATTCCTGGAGTAAGTCTATCAGTAAAGTCAGAGTTCAGACAGCAGCCTAGATTGGTGTGTTTTAATTTATTGGTATACAGTGAAACCTTGTTAGTCTGCAGTCTTACTTAAGTTTCCATTAATTTATATGGTGACTCCTTTCACAGTGCTCATGTGCGCCCAGGAGCAGAAAGTCCGCCATCCACAGCTGACGTGATCCAAATTGCCGTGGTCGGAGACGAACTTCTCATTACTCGTCCAATGCCTTGGGTCAAAAGGTAGGACACTGTTCTTTCATTAAATTGGTTTTTCAGAGTCGGCACAAATAAGTCATCAGTGTTTGTGATGTTACCTTTAGATGTCATTGTATGCTAATTAGAACTAGTGGAACTTCATCATTTCTATGTTAAGATATTTTACTACATATTACCTTATAAGCATCTGAAAATCACACCCCACATTTCCTTTCATTTTTATGAACAAAAAAAATGAGTGACAGCTGGAAATTGTTTTTGATCTTACTTCATTATATAAGAAAAAAATCTTTTCTTATGAATGTGAGAAAAAACCACTGTACTCCTGTAACAGAACTGGACTGGGTCAATCGTCTGTGACCAGGTAGCTCAATTGGTAGAGCGTCCGTCTAGAGTTCGGATGGTCCCAGGTTCAAACTCCGGCCTTTCTGTGCACTCCAGTCCAATAACATTTGGTGCCATGACCAGGATTCGAACCACAGCACCAAATGTAACAGGAGTGGAAAAATGCATTGTCTAGCTGACAATTAAGGGTTCTAAACTGGGATCATACAAGCTCTAGACGGACGCTCTACCAATTGAGCAATCTGGTCGCCGACGATCAACCCAGTCCAGTCCTGTTACATCCTATAGGAGATGCTAGAGATGATTATGGTTGTTGTCAAGAACACCTCTGATATAAAAAAAATATAAGTGCACAAGGAGTTTATGCGGTTGATATTCTGATGGTGTATAGGAGCTGGTTATTACCAATACATGCATAGTACATATTAGATCTTTGTTTTAGAAAACGTTCTGTCTTAAAACTTTCTGTCTGTATAGTATATTGTAATCGTATCTACCTGTACTTAGTTCTCTGTAGAAAATTAGAATTGACCGTTGCCAGTGGTTATTCTTTGATTACCAGGAATTTATTATCACAATTATGGTAATTAAATGGTAGAATGACCACTGGCTGTATAGGTATGTGTATTTATGTTATAGCTGTTAGACTAGCTGACCTACTTAGTCTATACTATTTATCTACATTCTTTTGTACCTAAAAGTTAGCTTTTCTTTTAACCGTTTCATCTTTTCTGACTGATATTTCCAATGAGTTACTTCCCTTGTTCAGACTAACTACTTTTGAGAAGGAAATATATTTTGTAAGTAAAGTGTTTGAACACAATCCCTTATCAATACATACAAACTGATTAGACAAATGGTTCAGATATTCTTGTGAACTTAATATTTTCTTGTTAAATAAAGAAAAAGAAATCAAATTTAAAAGAAAAATAACCCCCCCATTTTTTCCAAAGATTATGTGCACATATAATGTGTATGATAACAAATGATCTGTCCTAGTTATCTCCCTTCGTATTCCTCTTGATTATTAGTATATGTGTTATATGAGTTTTTCTCTGGTGGAGAATAGTATATTGTGTTTCTTTGTGAATGCAGCAGCAATATTTTCTGTTGGAAATATTTTCTGCTAAATAAGACTTGTTAGATAGAATGATAATTGACTGAGTGTCATTTTCAGCTGTTTTCGCTGGATAGTCAGTGGGAAAACAGTACTGACTAGGCATTTTACTGTCGTATTATGTTGATATGTCTGTGAATGTCCACCACAATTTCAGTCGTGACTCACCCTTTTCTTGCCTGTAGTGCTAAAGTACCTAATATCCCGAAACCAAAAAGGTAAATACTGGAGTATGATAAATACCTCAAACCTTACTTATTATATCCTTCTAATGTAGAGCCTCTTTAGTCCACACACTTCTTAATGCAGGAAACGCTCATTTTCTGGATAAAGGAGCAGAATTATCACCTAAGGAGGTATGCTACTTTACACATTAAACCATTCTTTTCAATCTCTCTCCAACAATTTTTTTTCTGGATAGTAATATCTTATGTAATCATATGTACCTTCAAATATGACATTATTTACATATTCCAAATTACAATTCATAAAACCTTTTTACCTGTGTTTGTTGTGGAACTCTTTTTGGAAAGGAGACACATTTGTATGTAAGGTAGAATTATATCATTATCAGAATTAGTGAAACAGTAATTACTTTTTTTATCAAAATGATTTCAATTTTTGGACTCAAAATGTCCAGAAGGTGACTTTTCCAGATACTATATACATGTACGTGTGGACTAAGAGCTTCCCTGTAACAGTAAAAGAACCGCAGTGGCAGGGCTTGAAACTCCTGTTTGCAGGAGGGGGTGGAATAGAAAGCTGCAAAATTACAAGTGTTATATTTAAAAAAAAAAGTTATCTTAATAACAATAGATTGTTTCATTGTAAATTAAATCTGATTTATAAAAGTATTTTGACTCGCTGAGTCTCTGACACTGGACCTTCCAGAACATGGATGCCTCCACATTGTCATTCTGTCTCTCAATGGACATAGAACGAAAAGGACTAGTAGATAAGAAAGATCTTGTTAATTTTTGGAAGATAAATTATAAATGGAAAGGTTGTGAGGAACTGGATGTTGTTTTTCTAGACCTGCCACAGGTTTTACTCATTTCCCTAGATTAACATTCTTCTTTCTAATGCTAGGTAATGATAATGTTTTCATAAAATGAAAATAGTTGTCGGTTTGTATTTTAATATGATACAAATCGGTAATACAACAGAAATGTAAATATTTATAATATTATTATGGATATTTATTTTAAAATTTTGACATAATCAGTCGTAATTAATTACTAAGGATGTGATAAACTGATAATACATGTACCTATCATTGTAATGTGTTGTGGTCATTCTTTCTGATTTTTACCATTGATTCTTGCTTGTGTGATTAGAATCTACATTTGTTTTATCTATGAATTATCTTCCCTTATCAATGAAATATCTTATTCACAATGACTCATCTTATTCACCTATGAACCATCTTATTCATCAAAAAAATATCTTATTTACCAATAAAATATCTTATTTACAAATGAACCATCTAATGCATTTATAAAATATCTTATTCACAATGACCCATCTTATTCATCAATAAAATGTCTTATTCACCAATAAAATATCTTATTCACCAATTAAATATCTTATTCACCAATTAAACATCTTATTCACCAAATTATTATCTTATTCACCCTTGACCCATTATGACTTATTCATAAATGTTATTCACCATGACCCATTTTATTCACCATTGAATCTTCTTATTGCTCAATGAAATATCTTATTCTTCAATAAAATAAAATTGACTTGATTCAAATAGCTTTTTAATGGTAGTCATATTTTCAATGAAACTTTGCTTTTGTCAATGAAATAAATTATTCAATAATGCAACTTCTTTTTCAGTAATGAATCACACTTTTTTTCCCCAATGAAATACCATTTTTATCAACAAAATTAATGAAACATGTTTTCATTCATTTTCACCACATTTAGAGCTTCATTTTCATTTACAATAAATATTAACTACAAAATGAAAACATCAATATTTCCTGTGTTATTAGTTTATATATAGATGTGATTTAAAGCATACCCATGGGATTACTTCAAATCACTTATATTTCACGCATACTTTTTTATCAGCCAGATTTAGAAATTGACTTTTGGAATTATTTTGAAGGCAAGATGAAGCTATTCAAAAAGTTGATTTAAAAATAAAACAGGCGTGATATATAAGTGTTACTAATTATTGATAGTTTATTAGAATTGATTTGTGTTTTTTTTTGTATACAACCTGTATCTAATTTACATATCATTAATTGTACGAAATATAAAATGATTTATTTTTATGTGTTACATGATCAGGAAATGATGATATCCTGAGGATTAGATAGATATGAATTATATAAATAAATGTGAACTTAACTTTTTTTTTTTTTTATAGGACGTCCATTTTGTTTATTTTTGTAAAAAATTATACTGTAATATTAAAATTCTAGGGGGTGGTCGGGCGGGGCAGTGGATAGCGCACTTGCCTTTCACCAAGGAGACCAGGGTATGATTCCCCGATCAGAGGTGAAAAGGAATTGGGTCACCTGCCCGACTATGTGGGTTTTCTCCGGGTTCTCCGGTTTCCTCTCACATTAAAACCCTCCGTGCTAACATCTGGGCCAACAAGAGTGATTAATAAAAGTTGAAATAACTTGTTTCTTAATTGTTGTAAAATAAATAAAGTTTATATTTATTTCAAAACTATAGTCAAGCAGTTTTTGGCAGTGGTACAGAGATCCTTAACTCATTCGTGAATGAGTAAATAAATGTGTCTGTGAACAGATGGGAAACTCCTCTTATGCATAGACATTAACTTTAAATGTCTGAAATACACAGCTACAGACCTGATGTGCTGCGTACCATAGACAGATTTTCTCATGACTAAACCTGTCACAAGATAGGAGTCAATAAAAAACTTTAAAATGTCTTTGATGTTTAATTGTGCCCAATTGACCTTGTCTAAGATATAAAATTGAAGGGCAATTATTGTTTTATTTTAAATACCCCTAATTCAGATTGTGTCAAACCAGCCTGAGTTTATAAGTGATTAGGTTCGGTAGGTAACTAGATATACAAGTAATCATACACAGGTACGCCAGGTGGCTTTTGGTATTTAAGCTTAAAATTAAAAACATTAGAATTTTTTTTAAATGCAGTGGCCAGCTAGTAGTTGTATATATGTTCTTTTAAATTTAAATTTTTATATTGTTTGTCAGTCAGATTTACAAGATTACAGAAGAATTAAGGTATTCATTTTGTACTTATAAATGGGGCAAGGAAGTAATTTCAAAAGTCAAGTGTAGACAATATGAGGTTGTCAAATTTTTGGGGCAATTCTCTGCTTTATCAAGACTCAGAAAAAATGTCACCTATACCAACTGTAAGTAATATGTATCGTATGTACAAACCTATAAGTTTGTAAGGATCCAGGGTTGTATGGAAATTTACCATTGTGATTACTTCTGATACATATACAATGTATATTACATTTGTTTTAACTATGTATATTTATTTGTATACATGTATATACACTACATACAAATTAAGTGTATGTTTACACATACCTTGTATATACTTACTATTCACATGTTTAATAACTTTGTGTGTCTTAAAAAAAAAAGCATTTTTATTATTTCACAACTACAGTAGTGTAGGATACCAGCTCTAAAACTGTAATTGTATTTAATTTAACAAAACAATATGTGTACCTGGTATTTAAAACATCTAAATTTGTAATAAATATCCTGCATGTTTGTTTAAAGCTTTGACTTCTTAATAAGGATTATTAACTTAATAAACTTTCCTAATAAATTATTAAATCAAAGTTTTATTTTTGAAATATTTTACCAGTAATTGATTTCACCATTATGTGTTGCATGTCCTGATGATTGTGGCAAATCATTTTTCAAGAACCTTGAAATATATTCAAACAAATGGTAAATAAATAATTTGTTTTGATCAGTGGTTAAGCTAAGGGACCTCTGATTTATCGGCTGTAGTTGCTAGCGAGGCAATGAGGCGTGGTTCAGCGCTCATTCTCACGTAGATTTTGACGGTAATGTGTATTGTTTATGATGGAAAACAGATCTGCCTACAGCACAATGGACCACTGGTCGCAACAAGACAATCTAGATTATTAAAGTACATTGGCATCGTATGTAAGCTGTTGATCAACTACCAAAATCAACACTGGTTCAAAGTGACACCGAACTATTTGTCAATGCTTAGAAAGCTTTACATTTTCATGAACAGAATATTTCAAATTGAACTTTTCATGTCTTTTTTAAGAGGAAGAAGTTGTTTAAAAATTTAAACTTCATAAAAAGCATTTGAATTTTAAAATGAATGGACTTAAAAAACCAAGAAAGACATAAATTATTGATTTATGAACTATATTTTTGGATCAACCTAGAGTGTTAAGCTAACAAATCGTTATTTGTTCAGCCATTTTATATTCATATCTGTATAGTAGATTTAACAATGTAAGGTTTAATCCATGTTGGAAAATGTATCACAATTTCACAGTATTGAGTAGAGTTCAGCTTCATAATGAAATAGAGTATAAAAAAATAGTTGTAAAAGGAGACGGTTTAAAGGGATTTTACAAAAGGTTTTTGAGTGAAGTAGAAGATGATGACTGTTTGTAGGGTCTCAACAACAGACTCCCAGAGGGCCCTCCGCCTACGACAAGCCCTGGGACTTGGTGCAGACATGGACAGTGAACAGAGGGCTGCGATGAGGGCCAAAGCTCGGGAACGGCGAAAAGAGATGGAACGAGAGAGGAAGAAAGCGATAAGGGCTGCCTACCGCAGGGTGAAGGAGGCTAAACAGAGGAAAGACACGGAGGTAATCAAAAACCTTGATATCACCAATACATATACAAAGTTAAAATACATTTTTTTATGAAACTCTTGAGTTTTAAGTCACCAGAGACAAAGTTTCATGTGAACTATTGCGATTGTTGTCATGCACGGTGTGTCTGTAAACAACTCAAAATTTTGACTTATTCTCAAAAACCAATTAAGGTAATAGGATTGTGTCGCCATTTCTCAGTAGAATTTCTTCAAATTTTGTAGTTATATTGCTTTGAAGTAAAGAAAAATTTCTGCCACAAATTTTTTTTAGGTTGTCATAATTTTTAGGAATTTAAATGGAAATTTATGTAAAAAGGATTGACTTTTGAAAAAAAAATGAAAGACACATTTTTTGGCAAAATAATGTCAATAAAAATGATTCTGCCATAGATTAGTATTGCATTAATGTATATCAATTTAATAAATGCTGCAATTACGTCAAATATATTATCTATAAACGATTAAAAATTGACATTTTATAATAAAACCATAGGCACATAGTAATTGCAGGTAAGAGTTATCTTTCTTAAAAAACTTCACAGTAGTGAAATAGGAAGCCGGTTTCCTGAAGTACAGAAAAATGGACACATGTGGCTCATTGATTAAAAAACAACTGAATTAATGCCTGGATTGCTTTGAAATACTTTAATATTGAGAGAAAACACTGTTCTGTCAATAATAAACATACAATATTCATCAGTTTAATATTAAACATTAGAATATGCAGAAATTGTGATACTGTCTCCCTACATTGGATTTTCAACTAGGGATGTACTTCCTACTTCCGTTTATCAATACACTCCTATGACCTTAACTGATTTCAATGAAATTTTGCTCGAACCTTCCATGGCTGAAGACAAACCTGAATTTTGAATTTAAATTATTCTCACCCCCTTTCCTACCCACAAGGGGTCTGAGGGGTATGATCAAACGGGTTAAATCATTCTCAACCCCTTTCCTGCCCACAAGGGGTCTGAGGGGTATGATCAAACGGGTTAAAATATTCTCAACCCCTTTCCTGCCCACAAGGGGTCTGAGGGGTATGATCAAAAGGGTTAAATCATTCACAACCCCTTTCCTGCCCACAAGGGGTCTAAGGGGTATGATCAAAAGGGTTAAATCATTCTCAACCCCTTTCCTGCCCACAAGGGGTCTGAGGGGTATGATCCAAAGGGTTCAAATTATTAAACTTCTCATCTTTCATTAAGATATGCTAGAATCAGGTACCCTTCATTGATAAATCTAAGATCCTTAAGTGCTCTGTTCTAATTAATTTTATATATTTAAGATTTTTAAAGTGTTTTCTTAAGTTCTGTTTTATCACAGAATCTTTAAGAATGACAGATTTTTATAGGTAGAATAAGAAATACAAATTAAACCTTGTTTAATGTAACTCATGAATGTCCTAGTAATACTTTGTTTTTGTTATGTTTCAATATCATGCATTTTAAAGTAATAAACATGTCGTTTTGAAAAATAGCGGCCATTTTCAATTCATTTGAAGTGTTCTAGTTTTTTATGCACTTAACATGTCTTACAAGCTTGCCATGGTGATATTTACTTGGAATCAGGCATAATATTTTCTAAATTATGTCCAGAAGGAAGATGGAGATGATATGGAGTATGACCTGGACGACGAGAAGAGGTCAGCAAAGCCACCGCCTCCGTTTACAGAGATGACCCATAACAAACAGTAAGTCATATTGGAGGATTAAAATGTTAGATTGATTTTATTTTGTTCAACATGTTTTTCACAGCTTAAATCATTTAAAGACATGCCTTCATATGTATCGATGAATGTGTGTTGGAGGTAGGGTATGTTGGTGTATTTGCCTCCTTGTGATAGTGTGGATCTGATGCTGACTTTAGAGTGCTGCCTCACTGAAATACCACGGCGAAGGCCTCCAGCACAGTATCCCACCCAATCTCATTATACTGACAACGGGTTATTAATCAGTTGTTGTGTTTACTCCAAATGCTGAATGTTTAGCAGGGAATCACAACTGCCATTTCTAAGGACTTTGGTATGTCCCTAAATAAGGACAAAATCCACCGCCTTCCTCACTAGGGTGCACGTCAAACACTAAGGCTAAAAGTGAAGTATTGAAAAATGTTAGAAAAAAAGTGATAATCATGAAATGTTTTTATCAATTAAAAATGTTGGAGATTCATTTCTATCATCTCAATGACCTTTTCAGATTTATGTCCAACTTTAAGAAACATTTACTGGAAGCTGAGGACAAAGAAAGACTCAATATGGTGAGCCTGTATTTGGACACAGACAACTACCTTAACCTCGGGTCCAGTAAGGCAGACGTCAAGAAGAAGGAGTCCCAATCTGGATTTATCTACAAGTAAGTCTTATTATGCATAATTCAACCCTAAAATTAGTAATGAACTATTCCAACCTTTGCACTGGAAGATTTCAAATGTGTCTTGAGGGGTGAAGGAGTTAAACATTCATTCTCACCGATTTTTCACCAGCTATAACTATTTAAGGATCCCTGTCCCACTGCACTATAGTTTTTAAATAAACAGTGACCTCCCCTTAATTACCTTTTGGATATTGCAGTAGTGAAACTGGGCCAAGAGACTTTCGTTGACCAGTTAGAACGATAGTATAACAATCTGAGGTCCAGGGTTCGAACCCCGGTCTATCCCGCTGAAGTTTCACTCAGAACACTGGTGTTGATTATTTTTTGTTTATTTTGTCTTTATCATTTTTTCATAACAGTTCTGTTTTTCCTTTCAGAAGTGATTCATCAAAGCTATATACATGTTGGAAAAAGCAGTTTCCAACGTGTAGTTACATTTTTGGGCAGTGGTATGGGGATCCTAAAGAGATATAAAACATTTTGGTTACTGTCCAGCATCAAAGAATTCAAAAGATATATGTAAAAATAATGTATATTTTTTTAATTTCTGTTTTGTACTTGTTTCTTTCAGAACTTATGTTGACTCCCATGGTAAGAAGCATCTAACCTTCACCGACAAGTTGACTAACAGGATTGGGGAGCGACCAAAGACAGGCGCCATTAAGGAAATGCAAAGTACTGTCATACCAAAACTAGAGGAAGCATTTAGTACGTTCTTAGTGGTAAGTGAAATAACGGAATGGAAAAAGTAAGTTGAGGGAAATTAAGATGGGGAGGGGAGAGGGAAGGAAGAAACCGGGGAAGAGTAGGGGGAGTGGAAGCAAGGGGATAGAAGATGAAAGGGGGACAGATGGAGGAAGGGAGTGGGAGGAAAGGGAGAGGGTAGGGAAGGGAGGAAAGGGAGAGGGTAGGGAAGGGAGAGGGTAGGGAAGGGAGAGTGAGGGAAGGGAGAGGGAGGAAAGGGATNGGAAGGAAGGGAGAGTGAGGGAAGGGAGAGGGTAGGGAAGGGAGATGGAGGAAAGGGATAGGGTAGGGAAGGGAGTGGGAGGGAAGGGATAGGGTAGGGAAGGGAGGAAAGGGAGATGGACGGGAGAGGGAGGAAAGGGAGAGGGTAGGGAAGGGAGAGGGAGGGAAGGAAGGGAGAGTGAGGGAAGGGAGAGGGTAGGGAAGGGAGATGGAGGAAAGGGATAGGGTAGGGAAGGGAGTGGGAGGGAAGGGATAGGGTAGGGAAGGGAAGAAAGGGAGATGGACGGGAGAGGGAGGAAAGGGAGAGGGTAGGGAAGGGAGAGGGAGGGAAGGAAGGGAGAGGGAGGAAAGGGAGAGGGTAGGGAAGGGAGATGGAGGAAAGGGAGAATACGGGAGAAGATAGTGGAAGAAGAAAAGTAGCCAGGAAAGGGGACCTGGTTGTGAAATTTCCTTGAGGAATTTCCAAGGTCTCTTATTTTATCTTTAAATCCAAAATATTCAATGGAAGAAAAATGAGAAGAGCTTGAAAATTTGGAAAGGAAGAGCTGATCAGGAAAGGGAATGGGGAGATAAAAAAATGAAAAGATAATTATAGAATCTATCACTCCAGTTTGATGCAGACAGAGAAATCTCAACCCAAGTATAAAATATTGAAGTTTAACATGGGGCTGGTAATGCTGCATAAAGTGATGACACGATCATGACATTTTTAGAATGATAGTGTGTGCAAGTTGTTTTTCACTATATGGATCAAGTGGATTTTAAGATAAGTGCTTAATTGGTTTGAATGCTGGAAAGAACAGAAAATATGAAGTTCCTTCCCAATGAAATTAGGATACAATTGTTTGGAAATAATGAAGTTTGTACAAATATATAAATCCATTTATAAAAATTATACTTCACAATCTGCCTTCTTTGTAGGAAAAAGCATCAGAAAATGGAATGGACCCAAGAGACTTTGCCAATCTTTCTCAGTCAGAATTAGCACTTCGTATGGGTACGGAGACGTCAATGAACTGGAAAAAGGGTCGTAAGGGAAAGGTAGGCATAGAAACCTGCTAGTGTAGTACCTGTTCAACAATCACTTTCTGCTAACTATATCATCAATTGTTTTAAAAAAAATACATCTTTTTTTTTTTCTTCATTATTTACTCTTTTTTCTCTCTTCATTAACATGTTTGTATAATTCTGTTAAATAATTTTCCTTTTAATTTGCATTTTCAAATTCTGTTTTCAATTTTTCATCACTTTCTGCATTTTTATGAATTTTGTTGAAACTGGCCAATCAAAATGTGAATTTCGCTGAATGAGAAAGACATGTTGCTAATGGCAGAATCTGGATTGAAATAGGGAATATTATTCTATGTTTTATGTCGTTACAGTTATTTAGTTACCGTCTCATAGATTTCATTGTTTGGAATAAAACATGCTGATTACAATAGAACCAGTCATCTTACAAAGGGTGTCGTATATCTAACCTGGGGTGGGTCAAGGGGAGGTAATCAGCTTTTTCACAATTTTCTAGAGATTAAATTTATCTAACAGTGGTGGTTGAGTAGCTCCCAAACAAAGGTTTATCATCAGTGAATTTTATTTGATAGTGCTTAAGAGTTACAGATTATCACACATGTTTCTCTCCAGCTTGTTTGCACTATAGATGTGATTTATTGAAACTAACTGAATAACTATAGAATCTCAGGTGGGTTAAAAAAATGCCAACTTTCAAATACAGACGCCAGATCCGCTTGAATTATCGCATAGCAACTTAGGCAAGGGACTTAACGGCAAAGTGATACGGGAGATTGAGTTCCCTGCTATCACTGTTAGCCTTATCGAACATGATGAGGATAATAAGGCGAATCGTAAGGTGCATTTTGCCGGAGATAATGAGGAGGATGTCTACCAGGTAAACATTCACATGTCCAGCTTGCATGTCGGAGCTTATGTGGAACTGTGTCCAGTGATGTGTGACCATTGTATAATGACGTGGATTAAACTTTTAAACCATGTGATAAACAACAGTGTCTTGATCGTTATTAACACAGTTTATAAATCTGATTTATCATTTACAACTTTTTATCAGTGTATGTGTGATGAGATTAAAAAGGTTCCCTTGCAGACAGGGAATATGAAGCTGTTTATATATTTTGATGTATTTGTGTGTTATTTTGTTACGAGTTGCGTAAACTGTTTGAAATAACCAAGCTTCTATAACAAAGGTATATATTTAGGAGTGTCGTTATTTATTGATCAAACCTAAGGTTGATGTGATGTTTGGAGGACACCTGTCTTTGGTCTCAAATGTCTGCATGTTTGTTTCACATTTTCAATTTTTATGTCCCCGTCACTTCATTCATGGGGGGGGACCTAATAATAATGATATTTCCCGTGTTTTTTCTATCTCGCCCTGTCCCGATTCTGAGTCATTGCTCTAGCTACAAACCTGAACAGATTTTGCTCAAGCTTTATACAAAAGACAAGAACAAGAATACCTCAAATGATTTTGTATTTCAAAGTTCAAAGGTCAGGGCCAAGGTCACTGCTTCTTTTCATAGAAATATTTTTCTGAATTATTTAACTGTTGCTATTTTTGGGGTTAGTTCAAAATAAAAATGATTGTAATTGTCTCCATCTTGCCAATTTTTCTGAAACTTTGTAGGGATGGGTAATGCATGGTTGTGGTTAAGTGACATAATCTATTCAGAAATCCATGATAACTTCAACTATTACGATCTTGAAAATCTAATCACTACTTGAAAAAAACCAATTTCTGGTCAAAAGGTCAAAGGTCACACTGGACCGTACAATGAAAGGTTTGCATAGGATAGCTCATGAACCACTCTACAGATTTAGATTACATTTACTCTGTATAGATATCGTGTGGTAAAATGGAGTCTGATATCAATTTAATTTACAAGGATTAAACCATTAAAAATTGTAAAAAGATATCAATAGATATGGACACAACAAATAATAGACTAGCTCGAAATTTACACCAAAGAGCAGAATTCATGAGAAATAAGATTACCATAGAAATATAATTTCTCACAAAATCACTAGAATGGGATCAATTTCATTGGATGTATATATATAGGTCAGGGACAGACATAGACCCGTGTGCTGTGTATAAATATCACATACTTAAGGTAGATAGTCCCACTGTTATTCTGTTTTAGACACAAAAGAGTTACATTACTGTTTAATTCATGCAATTTCTTCTCTGACTATAATCTTTATAATCTTAAAGTCTCAGAATCGTGGAGATTTTTTTGTGTAAAAATGGTATTTTAATGACTATATATGTAGTTCTTTCTTTACTAGTACCGTACAACAATTATAGATGGGCAAGATACTCTAATTGTAAAACTCTTGGAGATGCAACACAAAGTGCTGGGACTCTCTACCTTAAAGTCAAAGTGTTGTACCACAACTTTGTTCAGTTTAATTAATGTATATAATGATGTATTGTGATATGCTAATTAACAAACATAATGAAATGTTGCAGCATTGTAATAGTATTTAATATAAGAGTTTAATTAATATTGTGAAAGGAATACAAAGTATTGTTACATGCTAATAATTCAATGAAGATGAAACAAAGGGGGGAGTAGGATATAGAATCATATCAATCTGTCCATTAGTCCATCAGTCCATCAGCCCATCCCAAACTCTGGTCTGTACCATTACTTCTGAAGGGGGATGCAGGATAGCATCATATCTATCTGTCCATTAGTCTATACCATACTCTGGTCTGTACCATAACTTCTGAAGGGGGGATGCAGGATAGCATCATATTGATCTGTCCATCAGTCCATCTCTTACTCTGGTCTGTACCATAACTTCTGAAGGAGGAATGCAGGATAGCATCATATCTATCTGTCCCTCAGTCTATACCATACTCTGGTCTGTACCATTACTTCTGAAGGGGGAATGCAGGATAGCATCATATCTATCTGTCCATCAGTCCATCCCATACTCTGGTCTGTACCATAACTTCTGAAGGGGGGATGCAAGATAGCATCATATCTATCTGTCCATCAGTCCATCCCAAACTCTGGTCTGTACCATAACTTCTGAAGGGGGAATGCAGGATAGCATCATATTTATCTGTCCATCAGTCCATCCCAAACTCTGGTCTGTACCATAACTTCTGAAGGGGGGATGCAAGATAGCATCATATCTATCTGTCCATCAGTCCATCCCAAACTCTGGTCTGTACCATAACTTCTGAAGGGGGAATGCAGGATAGCATCATATTTATCTGTCCATCAGTCCATCCCAAACTCTGGTCTGTACCATAACTTCTGAAGGGGGGATGCAAGATAGCATCATATCTATCTGTCCATCAGTCCATCCCAAACTCTGGTCTGTACCATAACTTCTGAAGGGGGAATGCAGGATAGCATCATATTTATCTGTCCATCAGTCCATCCCAAACTCTGGTCTGTACCATAACTTCTGAAGGGGGGATGCAAGATAGCATCATATCTATCTGTCCATCAGTCCATCCCAAACTCTGGTCTGTACCATAACTTCTGAAGGAGGAATGCAGGATAGCATCATATTTATCTGTCCATCAGTCCATACCATACTCTGGTCTGTACCATAACTTCTGAAGGAGGAATGCAGGATAGCATCATATCTATCTGTCCCTCAGTCTATACCATACTCTGGTCTGTACCATAACTTCTGAAGGAGGAATGCAGGATAGCATCATATCTATCTGTCCCTCAGTCTATACCATACTCTGGTCTGTACCATTACTTCTGAAGGGGGAATGCAGGATAGCATCATATCTATCTGTCCATCAGTCCATCCCATACTCTGGTCTGTCCCATAACTTCTGAAGGGGGAATGCAGGATAGCATCGTATCATATCTATCTGTCCATCAGTCCATCCCATACTCTGGTCTGTACCATTACTTCTGAAAGGGGAATGCAGGATAGCATCATATTGATCTGTCCATCAGTCCATCCCTTACTCTGATCTGTACCAAAACTTCAAGGTCTCTTTTTTTCGTAATGGGTACATTATGTACAAGATGACATGATATTTACAAAGTTGGGCAACAGTTTTTAATTTATTAATTTTCATCTCTCTCAAGAAATCATCTTTAGAGCTTGTTTACCAATAGAATTTCTTATAATGACTTTATCATTGACATAAAATATTTGTACAGTATTTGTATCTGTGAAAATGCCACGCTACAAGGTTTCTGGTTGATAAAATGTTGATACATACATGTATGGTGTGTTTTTGTGTTGTCTTATGTAACTTGTCAATTAAAACTTATAATTTTGTTTAACTAAATAATACAGACCATTTTAAAGTTATTTCTATAAATATGCTATGATTGTTCATTTCAAGTTGATTTATGATATTCAGAATTTTTCAAATTTCTGTGCTCAAGTTTAACTTTTCCATGTAAAAGCAGTAAAGATAGACGATGTCTTGACCAATCGGTATCAGACCCTTGCTAATGAGTTTCCATACCTGTACAGGATGAACTACACTCGAACGTCTCTTCAAGCACCAAAAGGACCTTGTTTTCTAGGTCGCAGAGTACAAGGAAGAGATACACTAAGGTTTTCATTCCACAATTTCCAAATCTAATGTTGTTTTACAATTATTATTTTTATTTTTTTTAATGAAACTTACATTTTCTAGATTCTAGAAATCAGCATGCCACTTAACTAAAATAAAAATATCTTGATAATTTTACAGCATACTACACATAGTGTATATGAATTACGCTGTGACATCTTCAATAATATTTAAAGAAAATAATTCTAATGTACTCTAATAAACACAACAGAATGGGCCTGATCTACCATCAGTTCAATATTTCTTCAAACTTTTTTTTATATCTATATATAACAAATAACTGGTAAGTAATCACTTTGTTTAACCTTTTTGTTTTTTGTCAATTTTAATTTTCATAAATTCTTCATAATTTCTAATGAACAAACACTTTCGATAGGAACATTATCAAAATAATCAAAAATCTGAGAAATTGATTAATAATCTAACAAAATCTCCTCTAATTTGGAAAAAAATTAAAAAATCTATAATTTAAAATTTACAATACAGACCAAACTTATAGATTAGATCTTATAGAACATTGAATTGTATAATGTAACTCCTAACTAGCAACTTACATTTTTGTAATAATTATTATTTTTTTTTTTTTTTGCAATTGTTTCTTTCAATTTACGGTACGTACTGAATTTTACATGAATAAGTTTCTGTGTATTCACTTTTTGAGAATGAGTAAAATTCTGTGTTTTTATTGTAATATTGTTACACAAGATTATCAGGTACTGTTNTCAATTGTTTCTTTCAATTTACGGTACGTACTGAATTTTACATGAAAACATTTCTGTGTATTCACTTTTTGAGAATGAGTAAAATTTTGTGTTTTTATTGTAATATTGTTACACAAGATTATCATGTACTGTTAAATGCCTGTTTACATTATTTGTAGTTATTAAAACGTTCATCCCTTAAGACACATTTGAACTCTTCCAATTGAAAGGACGGAATAGTTCATTAAGAAATTTCAGGGATGGATGAGTTAATTTGATTTCATTATGTTAAAGACTTATTGTATTATGATAAAATGTTAAAGACTCATGGTTTATAACTTAATGATATGAGTGCATGTTACCAAAACTTGTTGTTGATTCTTAATCACCAAAATGTTTGGCACGCTCTGCTGTTACATATTATATGTTACTTGAATCTCATGATTGTTCTACAATTTTGATGTTGTTAATGATATTTTTTATTTTTGTTTTGCCTGTAATGTTCGCATTTCACTGTATGACATTATGCTATATTGTAACACCCTGTGTGATTGGTCAATCTGTCAGGAGGAATCAGCACGAACTACGTCACAGACTGATCAGGGCGCTGGCGCCCGCCGGGGACGCAGAAATAAAATAAATGTGAAGGTATTGTGTATGGGGTGTATCGCCTCACGTCTCAAACCTGCTGTGGGTTGCTCAGCTTTGAGGTTTTTGCTTTGCATGACCAGCTGCTATAGAGAGTTATCTGCCTTAAAAATGAGTTATCTTCCTTGAACATATTTTTTTAATTGCCCTTTTAAGACAGTATCTCCCTTAAACAGCAACTGTTGGGTGCCCTAAAGGGAATATTTCCACTGACAATAATTCAGCCCATCTTTAGATAATTCTGTTACTGTAAAGATATTTTTGTGGGATTTTATTTTCATGAAATCCAGGTCAGGAACTTTTCACAAAAAGGCCATAAAAAATGACAATGCACAAAAAAAACCTCAAAGAATTGAATTTTACATTTTTGGAAATGGCAAAAAAAAATATTCCATGAATGTAACCATATTTGTAGAAATAAAAAAAAAATGCAGACCCCCCTCAAATTAATACTTTTACAGTAACTATTGTATCTGAAATGGATGCATTATAACAAAAACAGATGTTATTTTTTTGTAAAAGTGATTTTCCTTTGGAAAAGAAATAAGAAATGCCTTTCTTTGAAAGACAATGTCTCCACTCATTGTAGGTAGTGTTAGAAGAAATAAATGTTATTTATCGTTGTTTGGTCGGCAAAGATAACTTATGTAGCTACTAACAGTTAGACCAGGAGAAACAGGTATCCAAGTTGAGCCTTGATAATCCAGACATGTTCATTCCAAGTGAATATGGCAGGAAAAATCTATACCCTAACCCTTTCACCACTGTAGACCATGATGAACTCATCCAGATCAATGCATGGTAGAGTCTACTAAAGTGACATGGGGTTGAAAAGGTTAATACAGACATATTATTTATTGGTGGCTGGATTCAGGAGGCTGGATAGTGGTTTAACAAGGCTTAATAGAATATAATCATAACAATTACAGGTATGCTATGTCAAACTGATTACAACCTTAATTTTTATTTTACAGCATATTTCGTCAAATGATACTAATAATTATAAGATATGCATATTACTTAATAACTAACCTAAATTCAGAATATGTTGAGGACTCACAATTTAAACCTAGTTTATGATATTCTTATAAAGCATACTTATGAGAATTGAATCTGGAAATATCAATATTAAATACCATAATTAAATCTGGAAAAATCTGGAGTCCTTTTTTTTCAGAAACCAAAGCATCCAGACTAATGGTTATCATAATTTGCAGATACACTCCTAACCTTAAAAATAGACAAGTTGCAAATAAGAACAATTTTTACCTTTCTTAACCCTTTTAACTTTATTTTTTTCCACAAGATGTATAAACATTTCGAAATATTTTTTCAAATTAAATTGTCAAAAATTTGTAAAAATCTTCTTGTAGATACACGCAACAGTGTCTCAAGCTACTAGGGTTTGGTCAAGTTTGATAAACTTTCTCTTTTCAGTCTTTTGCATGATTTCCACACAAATGACATGAGATAGTATCAATCATCACAAGTTTTCTGTCCTCAAAACATTTGATATAAAATACGTGTCGCTGATAGGTTGATTCGGTTGTCGGACCGTTTAGGACGACCTTGCACTGCTTTTATAGGACTACAGGTATAGTTTCTCCCCAATAATACAATACTATTGGCGATATGTGAGACTAAGTCATGCCTCATTTTTCATGGAACTTCATTTAATCCTTAATTCAAAAATCAAATCCATGAAAAAAATGACCAAACAAACAAAATATGGTTGATTTTTTTTTGCTCACAATTTTTTTTTCTTTCTTAGTTGTGTCAGTTTTAAACTTGAAAAATATTATTTCCAAAATTGTCGTTATTAGGGAGAAACTAAACAATTGCGAACTACACTGTACCTCAGGATTCTAGTGGTATTTTAAATATTACAAAATAAATACATACCTCCATACATACGCAGTATATTAGGGTTAATTAGAAAGTAACCTAGTGTTATAAAAGTAACACAGTACAATTTGTATAACTAATTTGTACATAAGATTTAAATAAATTCAAAGTCTGCAATTTGTTGTTCCTTAGAAAAAACATACATGTATAGTATATTATAACTGTTCATTTCCAGGCCCACATATTTGCTCTTACATTACGGTGGCGACAAGATTGTTCTTCAGTGTGAATAATTATACATATTCGTGCTGCATGCATGTGTATTTTTCACATAACTTGCATATTAATAAGATCATTTATTATTAGATATTAATATGGCTAAGCCATATTTATGAAATTTCAATAATTAAGATATTAGTATAAACATATTTTTTTCAAATGCATGCAAAATTGACCATAGTGTCGAAATATGTTTCTGTTTTTCCTTGATGTTAAATGAATTTTCAAAAAAAATAGGTGAAACATTTACATGATTCTGTGATGTACTTAACCACAAAAAAAACACACCGAAATTTTGAGAATCTCTGCCATTTCACATTCTCTTTCAAGTCCTTGTCATTAAGAAGTCTTTTGTCTGCACACTTGGACATCAGAAGAAATTGTTATATTGAAATACAATGTTTTGTTTACAACAAAAATTCAGATATAAACTATTTCCAATGAAATAAGCAGGGATTTTAATTTAAATTATCAGTCCTTAAATTTGTTTCCAGAAAGTGATTTCTGAAATTTTATCGGAATCCAAATTGTAAATCGTTTCCTTGTAGTATGTTCATTGGGCCTTTGTCCCTTTCAGACTGGACGTGCACAGCCAACCAAAGATGACCGAGAGGAATTTTTCAAGGCGCTCAAATCGTCAGCCGCTGGTCACCTGACTCTGACCATGCTCTACTTCTATAAATATCTACAGAAACACGGCGAGGAGGAAAATGCCCCCCTCCTCGACAAAGATCTTTTCTTCTACATTGAAGTTCAAAAGTTCAAGGTCAGATATGTTTGAGTAACATGTGGTAGAATGTAAACCTGTCTAAACTGAACCCTAAATGATACGAAAACCTGTGAAAGGCAGACATTTGACGAAGCCACATAGTACAGTATATACCTAGACATAGTGCTTCCTGTTCAGTTTGCAACGTCTCATAATTAAGATCAGCGATCAAATATTTAAATAACTTCTGCTTAACTAAGAGGTCTAGGGTTATAAAAAAATTGTTAGTACCGTGCTTGGATAATAATTTCTCCTTATAGCTTGATGGATTGAAATTGATTCACTTTCAAGGGTAAAATATATTAAAATCTTGAAATAACTTCTAAAGATCCATGAGATTTCACTAAATTTAATAATAATATTGTGTATTTGAATGTTACTATTCTGTGGTCTGTGTATTTTAGCTTAAGAATGAATATTGAAAAATACTTTTCTTGATTTAAATGCAAAATTGTTGTAAAAATTAATACAGAAATCAGACCGATTTAATTTTGTTTACAGGACGGTAGCCATGCCTACTCGGATGAAGAATCTCTCCGGAGGAAAGTCCAGTCTATCATGGATTGTTTCCTGGATGCCATTGTCAGTCCAGCACTTCAGGTAACTATAGCAACAACATTTCCGGTAAAAGCATAAGGAGATCATGAATCCTACAATAAAACCACAAAGAGTTACCTGCCCTTGCCTCTACGTTAACAGGTGTGAAATTTACCAGAGTTCCTTCATATTTAACTTCTTGTGTTTGTGTGTTTAAGTGTAATTAGTTTGTCTCACTTTCTATGGTACCAACTCTTTGTCTGGTATGCTGTAGTACTGACATATCGTCTTAAATGCCGTGTTTCTGACACTTTGCGTCAAATACATAGTACCATTACACTAAGCCCGAGTTTCCTCTGGACCTGACACCAGACTTTAGACATTTTGACAGATAGATGTCTGGTGTGGGGCCAGAGTGCACTTCTATAAGAAAATGTAGCATTCTCCGACACCATTTGGTGTCGGAGAGTTTTGAGGTGCTGACAACAAAAAATTATTTATTGACCCGAATCTGCTCTTATTATTGCCAACAGCTGCTAAATTCCGTCAGTCAAGTCCTAGGTTTTCATTCGTTCAAAATTTCCCACCTGAGGGAATGCCATTTTTGTAGGTCATTGGAGTGACTAATCAACAAAAAGAGGCCGTCCGGTAATCTTCACACCAGACATCTATCTGTCAAAATGTCTTAAGTCTGGTGTCAGGGCCAGAGGAAACTCGGGCTTCATTACTCTTTGTTCCAAATGCTATGATACGATTTCTTGTGTGGAATTCAGTTTCTTTTTTTAACCCTTTTACCCCTATGTAACATTAGTAGACTCTACCATGCATTGATCTGGATGAGTCCCTTATGGTCTACAGTGATTTTGAAAATGATGACCTTTATATTAATAATTAGATATGAAAATGGAGATATGCATGTTACATAAAACTTTAAACTATTTTGTTTTGAAAATATCTCTTAAAAGGCAGTCTTTAAATGACACTTTATTTTCTAAGCACCCAGGGGACTTGATTTGGTGATTGTAGTGAAAATGGATGTAAGCGATCTTGCCTCTCTTTCAGATTGATGTTACTGCCGCAACGCAGGACAAGGCTATCAGGGCGGCTCAGAGGTACCTCGCAGGAAAAGATGTGATGGCTAGTATATTTGACGAGCCACAACTAATGGTGTTCAAGGAATTGTTGCCCTACTGGGCTGGATTTAGACGAACTTTCCAGCCTCCGGACGATCCAACAAAGCGTCCAGGTACTCATTGCATAATTCTATATAAAATGTGTTCCTCTTCAATCAGGTATATTTTGACAAAATGCCTCTTCAATCAGTCTCCACTAAATATGCCTCTGCCATTTTATTAGTAGGTCGGAACATAAAGTGTTATCTATATAATCTTGTTTTCATGGTGTTACTGTCCAAACAAATTTGATAATCTCAGAAAAGTCATTTTTAACAAATAATGGGTTTACTTTCAGTCACTAAACACCAAAAAATGCTGAAAAAGAGACTTGAAGCCATTGAAAACTATGAGATACCATCAAATGAGTTCCATCTTCCATCCATCCCCGAGGGATCTATAGCAGCGTATACCTTCTCACTCTCCGACGGAGTAAGATGGCGGGTAAGTGTCTCAGCCAATCAAATTGGTCCTAATGTTAATTGGTACAAGCCCCACTTGTATATATATATATATATTTTTTACCGTCTGCTGGATAACCGAACTACTGGGTAGTGAAGCGGACGTAAAACCAATCAATTCATCTATCAACATTTTAACAAATATTTTATAATTCACACAATTCTTTAGGGGTTCTTACCAAGTAGGCAGTGCATGAAGGCGTGTTGCACCTGTAGTCATACTGAAAGATAGAATATGGGTGAAAGGGAATGATTAGAATGTTGAGTAGATTTCTAGCTCAGAATGGATTCATTAAATATGTTTGCAGCATGTTTTAAATTTGCATGATGTTTAGCAGATTTTTTTATACAAAAGTAGGACAACAGTTTCTATTTTTAGCTGACATTGTTGCAAGTGCCTTAGTGATGTTCTAAATATCATTTTTTACTGGCATTTTATGAAATTTATTTTCCTTTATAATGTTACACTGTACAAGGATAAAATATAACATGAATTTGATGACATAATACTGGTCACTTTGATGACAAAAGACAGGTAACTTTATGCTAAGACAAACAACAGGTAACTTTATGACAAAGGACAGGTAACTTTTATGATAAGACAAACAACAGGTAACATTTATGACATGACAAACAACAGGTAACTTTGATGACAAAGGACAGGTAACATGTATGACATAACATAAAACAGGTAACTTTGATGACAAAGAGGAAGTAATTTTGATGACAAAGGACAGGTAACTATGATATGACATAAAACAGGTAACTTTGATTGCAAAAGTAGTTGCATGTGCATTGATGAAATATTCTAGAGTGTAATTCAAATTTAACTTTTGAAGAAAAAAACCCAGAAAAAAACCCACTTTGATCTATAAAAAAATGAAACTTGAGCAAGTCAACTACTTGCTCATTAAATTTTAAGACAATAATCTGAATATGTAAGAACCAGAGGTGTAGATGAGGAAACCTCCAGTGAGCCTCGTCAATTTTACCCCAACACCAAAGAAAGGTCAAAGTAAGTTACAAATGAATGGAGTATTTGGATGATCAATTCGTTGTAGCCAGGATCGACTGGTTCAGAATCTGACCGGGGGTCAGTTCCAGGACTTCCTGTCCGGAGGCACCCAAGTGTTGGCTCGGTACAAAATGGAGGGATCACTAGTGTTCACGGTTCAACTGGTCAACTAAGTCAGAACGAGGCTCCGACTAGTTGTAGCTCCCAAAGTGTGCGGAGCCTCATGCTCTAACCCACGGGTGTGAGTAAGGCAGGGTGTATAGAGCTAGTGGTTTATTCTCACATTTCTCTAGTAGGATGGCTTCCTGGGCTTCTATTGGATGTTATAAATAGAATCCTTTCAAATAAGACATACTGTGCTTTTGTCTTATATTTTTGGAATCTTTGGGTGAGCTCACGCAGACGTTTCTTTAGTGTTATAGTGCTTTTTTTAAAAGAAAGTTTTGAGCTGATATAAAATACTTCAATGGTATCACAGATCAGATTGATTGTTTTATTAGCCTAGAATGGAGTGTACCTTAGACGGTGTGCATGCTTGCTGAGTCAGATTTGACAACTATATATTTATATATACCCATATATATAGGCTGCTTTACAGGAAGTTTAGTAGATCTAGCTAGATTGTATTTGAAATATATATATTCAGAAATTTCTTAAATCAGTTTTTTCCTTTTTACAAAACCCCCCCTGCTGAACCTTTGGGTAATGAAGTTAACGTCATATTTGTTTAAATTTATTTGTGCCTTGCTATGAAAAAGGGGACCATGTCTGTCCGTTTGTCAGATGAAATGATGTTATCTCCCTTTGAACACCTATGTTAAATGTTGGACTTCCGTGACACATACTTTATACAGGGTTTAACTCATTCACCCCTACATGTTTAAACTGGACTTGCCATGTTTTTAATTTTGGTAAGGTTCAAATGTGATTTTAGGGGTGAATGGATTTAGTACCTGGGCAGCTTGTACCAGTTCGTTTTATTTAGTATTTTACTTTTATGATCAATGTTGGTGGAGGAAAGTCGTAGTTCCCGGAGACAAAAACATCGACCAACCGGCCCGTACCTTGCGACTGCCCCACGTAGGTCTCGAACCCACGACCCAGTGGTGGCAAAATGTCAGAGGCCTAAACCACTTGGCCATCCAAAACAAAAAAATAACATAGAAATAATAGTTTATTTATGCATATTTATAAATCATTTGGCTGGGGAAATAAGATATTTCGAAAAAACACAAACAAAACGATGGTGATGAATCCAATATGATAAATAACACAGCGGACACCCTTTGTTTACTGTACTGTGTTCAGTACTCAATGTAATCTAATGTTTCTCTTGTTTTTATAGAGAGTCGGTAAGTGCTCAGTAAACATGTAGGGTATAAATGCTTACAGACATTTATGTTTAGAAATTAATTGAATGTTTAATCTTTAGAACAGCCACTTTAAGTTAGTCGCATATACATTTATGTATTATATATTCACAACCAGGTAGCTGCAGACATCATTTTTGTGTTAAATCACCTGTCCATGTTTATCTATGCGTAGAACAGTAATTTATTATGTGAGCTTGTGTCAGGTAAATGTTGTTATGTATGTGTTATATGTATGGGTAAATCACACATTCCAGCGTGAGGCGACCTTGAAGGTAGGTTTAAAACGGTGCCGGCTTTACTTCATCTCTGTAACAGTGCATGTCCAGATGACCTTGGTGATGATGACCTTGAGGACTACCTTGACCTTTGTGGTTTTGCATGGAAACCAGTCTTTTTAACACACATCATATCCAATCCCAAAAACATTTTTTTACAAAGGAAGTTAATATAAGATTTCAGATCTAAAGTTTTTTTATCCACATTAAAAATCACATCCTAATGTGATGTTCACACAATGAATCTTTAATTCAAATTTACTGTCGCAAAAGCTGTTTTCTGGATTTTGTTAAAACAACTTTAAACCTACAGAGGTAATATTCATTGTGAAGCCATTTTGGGTACAAAAATCTGATGAAGAGATTTTATAATCTTAGCCCTCGATATCTGTTCTTGTTACTCGCACGCTATCGCTCTATCCTCCCTCGGACGCTTTTTTCCCCCATAACCTTTCTGTTCTCTCATTCTCATCTTTTTCTTTCATTTCATCCTCCTTCTATCATCTTTAATCCTTTTCTCATTATCCTTTTATCCTCTCATCTTTTTTCTTTTCTCTTTCATTCTTTTTCTCTTCTCTAATCTGTCTTCTGTCTCATCCTTGTAAGCCATTTTTTCTTGTTTTTCAATCTACTGTATTTTTTTCTTACTGTGCCCAAATTCTGTCTCATCCCTTCAATCAGCATTTGTCTGTCTGGCAGTCCTCTTCAGTCTTTCACACATTCACACATTCTTCAACAACAGGTACTCACACACTGGTTTCCCTGCAAAACTCCATTAAGGTTTGGAACCCTTATAAAGGTCAAAGGTCAATCTCACCATAATTTGGATGAAAAAATAAATAAAAAAACTCAAAACAATTAACGCCATTCTAAGCTTACTGACCTCTATTGTTTCGCACCAGAATTGTACCGGACTGGTACAGATCTAACCCATGGATTTTATTTCTTACGCATGCACACAAATAGGATGAAGGGGTAAGTTTCACGGGGAAGATTTCTTACAAAACCTACTGAACAATATTTTCCCAAGGGAAAACCAGTTGTGACTAGAGGCTAAGGGACATGGGTAATGTGAACAGCTAACAGTATGTTTTTTTCAGATGAAGGGATGACATTATACCAGAAATAAGGAAGGCAATGAAGAGTTATTACAATTTCAGTTATATTTTGTTGTGACGTTTTTGAGTAAGGTTGATTAAAAGTTTTATTATTTTGAATTTTTGCACCAAAAGAATTTTAGGATTGAAATCCTGAAACAAACAAATGTATTAAAAGGAACTGGTAACAATGAATATATTTCATTTTAAATAAAACTTATGATTAAATAACATGAATAGCACTCTATCTAAAGACATTCCTTTTTCAGAAATTTACAATGAGATACACTTTTCTATTTTATTTTGTAATTATTATTTGAAATTATGAGATAAATAATTTATTTTATCATATTTGTCCCCAAAAAGGGGAAATACTCCTGACCTGCTTTATTCAGAATAATTATATGGGGCATTAATATAAGTGATAAAAAAAACAAAATATTTAGAACTTACCATAAATATACAAAAAGAACTGTGGCATTATTTTAACCAAACAAAGTTTTCAAATATGGTTTCATTTTTATTTCTAACTGCATGATATGAATAAAGTTTCTGATTTAACAGTCTCAATATTTCTTTGCATGTTATATTAAAATTTACAGGAAAATTGCATTTTAATTATCAATTTAATATTTCTTTCAATTCAATAACCATACTTATATACTTGAACTCAAAAAAAAAATAACTGCATGCTCCTGGAATTTGGAATGAATTTCCTCAGTAATATAACCAGATTCCTAGAAACCTTAGTCTGTTTTCTAGGAGACGTAACTAATTTCTAGTAGGCGTAACTAATTTTCTAGAAGCCTTTGTCTCTTTTCCATGTATAAAAGTACAACTACATGACTGTATTATCTACTCGGTTACATCAGACAGGTAAACCTAACCTAACCAACGAACTATGAACAACAAAGCATTTAAGTGTTTTAAACCTAAGGTGTATATTGGGGCGTCAATTTCTGATGAAGAAAGGATTTTATTTTAGTCACATACAATTTGATTTTGAAAAAGTAAAAAAAAAAGGCAAATTTTGTTGTTAAGGATAAGAAACTGTTATACAGGTAATTTAACTTTTTAAGTCAACATAAGCAATAGTGAAGTGTTTACCTGAGCAGTAACTAAGAGTTTTCCTGTATAAGGTAACACAACAAGGATTATGTAATTTAATGTTTACGTTTCAAATTCAAGCTGCTCACCAGTACTGCTAGTGTCTCGGTGAGTGCTCCATATGAACGGGTCCCGATGTTGTCTGAAGTACTATTCTCTGAATAGGTTTAGTCCTTTACATTTCTAGTCTTAGAACAATCCCTGCTGGTGATCATAGCCCTGTTATATTGAGTGGTGATACACACAGCAAAGAGCAGTCAACAGCTCTAGTACGGCTGATACATCATGGATCTGTCCTGTCTTTTCAACAAGAGTGTCTGTCCGTTGTCCTGGCTGCAGTGTCTGTCCTTTGTCCTTTACAGCTATAGTGTCTACTATATCCGCCTTTGTTAGGTAGCAGTATACATCATCTTTACCTATATATACAGTCTGTCCTTTGTCCTGGCTGTAGTGTCTGTCCTGTACATCTGTATATCATGTGTCTGTTTATATTCCTTTACAGCTGTAATGCATGTTTGACCTGTTGCCTTATAGAAGTACAATTTGCAGAATTCATATACCAAAAATATATTTCTGTCAATAGTCCTTAGAAACGATAACTAGATTTAGAATTTTGTACTTTGTCCTATGATAACAGAAGTGTTTGTCTTTTGTCCTTAAAAAAACAGTTATGTCTGTCCTTTGTCCTTTATACTGTAATGTCTGTCCGCTGTCTTTTTGTGTCGCCTGCAGCGCAAGGAGACATATAGGTATTACTTTGTCGGCGTTGGTGCGTTTGCGTCGTCCGAAACAAGGTTTCCGTTCGTTAACTTGAGATCTCTTGGGTTGATTGAACTCAAACTTGGTACACATACTTCATACCAATATAGCTCGGACAAGTTATGCCCTTTTTATTGGCAAATAAGGGTATTGTGTAGTAAATGATCTTTTTATTTTTTAATCAATTCCTTTCAAATTTTGTACGGTAATGCTAGAAGCAATAATGTTTAACATATATTACGGGTTTTTTCTCGAGTTTCAACTTTCAGCATTTTGGCATATCTGTTTAAGTGATAACTCAAGCCAAAACACGTTTCTTACTAAAAGCGCTGAGCAGGCGACACATCCACTCCCGTGGAATTCTTGTTTACTTTTTTGTCTGTCCGTTGTGCTTGTAAGAGCAGCATATGCTCGTTGTCTTTTATAACAGTAGTGTCTGTCCTGTGTCCTTTAAGAATGCTGTCTGTCCCATGTCCTTTATAGCAGTATTGTCTATCCATTGTCTTTTAAAACAGTGATATCTGTCCTTTGTCTGCTATATCAGTGTCTGTCCCTCATCCTCATCCAGTAGTGTCTGTCCTTTGTCCTTTATATTTGTTGTCTGTCCTTTGTCCTTTCTTATCAGTAGTGTCTGTCCTATGTCCTTTATGATATATACTAGTTCTGTCTGTCCTTTGTCCTTTTTTACCAGTAGTGTCTGTCCTTTGTCCTTTATGATATATAATAGTTCTGTCTGTACTTTGTCCTGATAATGCCACCACACTTTCTAACTAAGCATACATTTTGTTCAGGATAATTTGATCTGATTCTTTTTTGAAAACTGTTATAGTATCTTACTGATCAAATTCTTCTATACTTGCTAATAGTAATGATAAATATAATTTATACAATAGATGATTATCGAAATATAAACCATAGCAAGACAGATCAACATGAATATAATATATACTGGGTATTAAGAATTGTTTCATATTCTTTTTCTAGGAACTTAGAAATTTTATTACCAGCTTACAAAACCCAATATTTTTTTACAGAATCTTTTTTCTAGCTGTAAATATTTTCGATATCTTAAATATCATTGTGTCAGACTGGATCAAAATTGTCAAACTTTTTTTTGTCATTTTCTTAAGGTTTCTCAAGCTTTTAAAACTTGAGTGTTGCTATACCTTTTCAAGAATAAGTATATTAAAGTTCAAACATTGCTCAGATGTTGAAGAACCTGGATCCTGAAAATAAGTACCAAAGGTTAAGACAGATCCAAATTTTTATTATGTCTTTACAAAAAATAAAATGTATTAAGAATAAGTGAAACACATACCCTTTAGACATCTTGGTATTAAATGTGATTTGTATTTTTCTGTCGGTAGTGGCGTTGAGGATTAGACTGTCCAAGTAGGTAGCATTGTATTGTGTCATATTGTGACCCACCATATTGACATTGTAAACGTACGCCTCGTCGCAATACAAACATGGGAGTGCTTTACAGTATTAGATGTTGTATTTTTCATAAACCCCAGGTATGATCAAACCGTTCAACTGATGCTCTATGGCATAAATGGTAATGAAAGAGTTTAAGAGCTTCAATTTATTATTATTCAATTTAGAGATGTTTTCTCCCTTGTGATATGTATACATTTAAAATATTTGTACAGGTGTTGTCTCCCCTTGTGATACATATTATTTCAAATATTTGAACAGGTGTTGTCTCCTCTTGTGGTATATTATTTCAAATATTTGTACAGGTGTTGTCTCCCCTTGTGATATCATATGAAACATTTGTACAGGTGTTGTCTCCCCTTGTGATAATATTAGAAGAAATATTTGCACAGGAGTTGTCTCCTCTTGTGATAATATTATAAGAAACATTTGTACAGGAGTTGTCTCCTCTTGTGACACATATCATATAAAATGTTTTAACAGGTGTTGTCTCCCCTTGTGATACACATTATATTCAATTTTCGTACAAGTGTTGTCTCCCTTTTTCAGTTTCTATTTAATATTGTTGAAAAGGAATGATCAACTACAGTTTCTATTTATCATGCTCTTCTGATGAAGTACTGCAATGCCATTAAAGTTATAATTCTGAAGAATAGATTTAATTCATAATTTACCATTTTATGTTGTACAGTGTATTAAACCTTGTTCTATTTTCATGTCATAAAGAATTTTTGCAATACAGTATTATGAATAAGGTAATGTAAGTGGAAAATGAAACAAGGTTTTCTATGAATAGTTGTGCTTTTGTGTAAGTATGGTATAAATGAATATCCTTCAACCCAATCAATGTCACAATTTTTCCTACATGTAGCTGAAGGTTATCTTAAGAGTGAAAGTAAAAATTTAAAGTTAATTGAAGAGTTTTACTGAATGTTTAACCTTGACCTAAACACGATTCCATTTAAGAATGGTCCTCCCGTAACTTTTCACTGAAAGTCAAAAAGTTGTCTTTCAAAATTGCTTTAGTCACGTATAATACTGGAGTATAAGTAATCTAAATTTTGGAAAATATGTGTTTTCACAATATTGCTTTAAATCACTTATTTCCTTTTTTTATATATTTGTGAAACTTAAATATGGCTTCCATTGGCAGGAGGTTACGACTGAGGAAGCCCAGAGCATCTTGGGAAGTCCAATCGACAGATCAGAGACGGCAACCACTCTGAGGGGAGGAAAGAGCGGGGTGGAGAGTACGCTACGGAAACGTGTTAAATCACAATCTCATCTTAGTGTGCCTGGCATGAATGGCAGTGGACGTGCGTCCCCCGGACATTCCTTATCTGTCAAAGACTGACATGGGTATAGGCCATAGATGGAGCAATGATGATTTAAGTTTGTCTTTCATCGCAATTACCAACAATCACCAACAACCATGGGAAATGAGAGCGATGTGACTTACTGTAACCAGGAATATTGAGATTTCTTTGTCACCCTTGAATATTGAAGCCAAACTCAGAACTGCAGTGATATTTGATATAGAAAATGTTGATGAATATTGTATAATTTTGTGCATCTAGCTCAGTAAATGCCAGCTTAATAGCACAGGCATGTGATCTTTGCCTAATATCATAAGCCCCTGCTGATAGGCTAATTCAATAGGCCTCTGATGCTAACCCGTTATACCACAGGTCCCTGATGGTAGCCTAACAGCACAGGCCTTTGAGGCTAGCCTAATATCACAGACATCTGATTTTAGCCTAATAACACAGGCCCCTGATGCTAGCCTAACACCACACGCCCTAGCTACTAGCCTAATACCGAACAGGCATCTGATGCTAAGCTAATACTAAAAGCCCTTGATGCTTACCTATAATACCACAGGGATCTGATGATAACCTGATATAGCACAGGCCCTTGATGCTCACCTATAATACCACAGGGATCTGATGATAGTATGATAGCACAGGCCCTTGATGATAACCTGATGTAGCACTGGCCCCTGGTGATAGCCTGATACCACAGGCCCCTGATGATAGCCTGATAGTACTGACTTAACATCTTCCATAAGAAATAATAGGGATGAGATCTTTTCTATCTAGGTATCTGAGCGTGTGCAATAAGTATGTGATGTATTTAGTATTTCTCCATACAGATTTCAACATATCTTTTGAAATTATACTGAAAAGCACAGAATTTTTTAAGTTATTAATTACTGTGGTATTATTGCCCGATATGCTCAAGACTAACAACTGGAATTACAAAGAAACATCTCTCACAGATATCAGCTACTGCAGATACACTGTGACCTACAGTTTGTTTACAAATATACACATATCTATTACTTATTTACAGAAGTCTTGTTTCAGAATAAAAGAACAACTGAAATTTGCTTATAGTTATCTGTAATATTTTTCATAAATATGCAATCTGTTTATATATATATTGACAATTGTTTACATTAATCTATACATATATATTTAGAAAAAATATATATATATAAAAGTTATTTATAGATATCTAAAATCTGTTTATAGGTATCTACAACTTGTTACCAGTTGCCTATTGAATGACGTTAGCAATATTAACGTAAAAAGATTAACCCATTATTTCCCCTTTTGGGCCCCATTCCTCAATTTTGAAGGGGCAATGTGTAAATATCTTTTGACAACATTGAACTTCCATAGCCCAGAATGCTCCATGCCAAATAAGGTCAAAATCCCTTTGCCAAGACTTAAGGTGTAGTCTTTTGAAGATTAACCCCTTTTAGGGCACATCTTTCTGAACAACATTTGATTTCCAGTGTAACAGCCACTTCTTTGCCCCCCGCTGAAAGTTTCTCCGGGTAAAAAATCAAGCTAGCCTATTTTTTCCCTGCGGAAACTGAGACAAGGAAAGAAATGACTTCTTCACCGGATCCAAAGGATGTTCCATGCTAAATATAGCTGAAATCCAATCAGCTGCTTTCGTTTGAATCAGTTTGAATCAGTAAGTCGCTGACATAAACTTCTGACCGGGGAGTCTCCATAAGGTATAACCCACTCAGTGAATACATTATTGATGTCTTTCACCGTAAAATGTTCAGATTTGAAGTTTTCCTCAGAAACTTTCAGTTTGTTTGTATTGGAGTGCTAATATGAGTGACTGTTTCTTCGTAAAATATGCATAAACACTTTACCTAAATTATTGATCAACTCTTTTATTTGATATATGCTCATCTTGGTTAGATATGGGGAATTCCATGACAAATATTCTTTTGTAAATTTATTGTTTATGTTAGCCAGACTTATGTGTATATAAGAAGTGTGCCTGAGTTTATGTGATAATGAAGCATCTGTCGTCTGTCGTCAATTTTGTTTTGTTTTTAAGTATTCTCCTTCAGAACTGTAAGGCCTAGAGTCATGATATATAACATGTAGCTTGTGAGAGCGAAGGGCTTTCAAGCTTGTTTCATGACCTTGACCTACATTGAAGCATGGGGTCAAATGTGTCGACCTCTGATGAAGCATCAGGTCTATGATAATATTTGGTATGTGGATTGCTAGGAACAAGAGCCGTCAAATTACTCAGATAAATAAAATTAACCAACATATAATGTGTTATATATAGCCAGTGATATGGGCATCTTGTGACTGATTGATTGATTGATTGAGAGAATGAATGAATGAATGAATAAAATGAATGAACAATATTTCAAGTGTACTATTTATATTTACTACTTATATGTGAATGTTTTAAATTGAACCAAACTGTGATATTTTCTGTGATACCTATATATATATATATTATACATGTATTTAAAAGTCATTTCTAAAAGAAATTTTAAAATCTATGTTCAGCCACTAGGACTCGGTAACCATGCTCATTGTAAAAAAAACAATACTTGCTTTGTATAATTATTCTGACTTTGCAATCTAACGTTCAGAATCAGATGTACGTGTTTTTTTTTCTATTTTGTAGGTCACTGTGATCTTGTATGATTGATTTATTTGTGTGTAAGTCACTAAAACAATATATTCAGACATCTTCATATCAGATATTCAACATAACTAGGTCACCATTTCGTAATTGTTATGTATGTAGGTCACTGGTCATATTTATAATGTATGTAGGTCACTGTGTGGCCCTATTTATAATGTATGTAGGTCACTGGTCCTATCTATAATGCATGTAGGTCACTGGCCCTATTTATAATGTATGTAGGTCACTGTGGTCCTATCTATAATGTATGCAGGTCACTGTGGTCCTATTTATAATGTATGTAGGTCACTGGCCCTATTTATAATGTATGTAGGTAACTAGTCCTATTTATAATGTATGTAGGTCACTGTGGCCCTATTTATAATGTATGTAGGTCACTGTGGCCCTATTTATAATGTATGTAGGTCACTGTGGTCCTATTTATAATGTATGTAGGTCACTGTGGTCCTATTTATAATGTATGTAGGTCACTGTGGCCCTATTTATAATGTATGTAGGTCACTGTGGTCCTATTTATAATGTATGTAGGTCACTGTGGTCCTATTTATAATGTATGTAGGTCACTGTGGTCCTATTTATAATGTATGTAGGCCACTGTGGTCTAATCTATTATGTATGCAAGTCACTACTGTTAAATATTTATGTATGTAGGTCATTATGGTCCTATTTAGGTCACTGTGACCTTGTTTGATGATGACTACTACCTATCAGTATTGCCTGTAACTTCAGGATCTTGTCTCGTCTATGATATGACAAACTCTTGTTCTCCTGCCACTAATGAACAATAAAGCTATCTTTTACGACATAAAAACTCTCTCTTCTGTTTATGTATGTACTTATCTACCTTAGACTTGTGCTATACCTGTGGGAAGCTCAGGTGGCCAGGTCTTGGATGGGCTGAATTGGGTAAAGGCTTTGGATTTTTGCAATCGCCTTTTGTCCGGCGTCGTGCATCGTGCGTCGTGCGTCGGTAAACAATTTACTTTTTCCACTCCTTCTCCAAAACCCCTGAACCAATTTCAATGAAATTTTGGAGAAACCTTCCATGGCCAAAGGTCAACAAAATTTGTGAATTATATGGTCTCCAGCCCCCAGGGGCCTGAAAGGGTCAAATTGACTGAAATTTCAAAAATCTTCTTCTCAAGATCCAGATATGTTAGAATCAAATACTCTTCTTAGATAGAAGGGTCTTAAGGTGCTTTACCAAAATTGTGAATTTCATGACCCTGGAGTCTCACGTTTCCCCCTGGGGAGGCGATAAATTTTACTATAGTTTTTATAGGGAAATCACATTTTGGACCAACATTTGTTTAATTTACATCGGAATTAATTCAAACTTGATTAGCATTATCAGTATTGGATAGCAGTTTGATGGTATGCACATGTCAGCCCTGATTGACCCCCAGGGGCTGATGGGTGGGGCCAAAAAGGGTCAAATTGACTAAAATTTCGAAAATCTTCTTCTCAAGATCCAGATATGGTAGAATCAAATACTCTTCATAGATGGAAGGGTCTTAAGGTGCTTTACCATAATTCAGCTGACTGACAGAACCACTATTTGTACATAGTACATATACTACCCAGATCTTTCACACTTCTTTTGCATCACATGTAGTTCAAGTTACCTTTGTTACAAAATGATTTCTTTTTCATATATTTATAACCATTTAACAACACCATGATTACCATCAGTAATAACACTGTAGACATACAAGGGTAACATTTAGTCTGGTGTACAATGAAGTTTTGTCACTATATGCCTAAGGACCACTGAGATACATCACTTTGACCTTTGACCTTTACATATGACCTTGACTTTGCACTTGGTTTATTAGCCTCTTATGTGAAACATGTATGAAGTTATGACTGTAATTCCAACAAGAGGCCCAAGGGCCTTCGCGGTCACCTGAGTAATATTATAGGTACTAGTAACTCAATTTCATTGTTGAGATGTACAAAATGTGGAAAACAACATGTAAACAAAGTGAAATACAATACTTGTCATGTCACCAAAGGAAAAGAACTTTAAAAACTATTCAAATAAATTATTTTGCTATTGAAAATTATACCCTCTCCCCAAGGGAGAGCAGTTGACCTGGGTGATAACTAAATTTACAATTTAGGTAATGGTAATTTAGGTAAGGTAATTTCTATCCATGAACAGTAAAACGTCTGAGTCTGATGAAGAAGATTTTTTTAACTATTAACCATAATCCCCATTTGGGCCCCACCACTCCAGTCCCTGGGGATGGGGCAGGATCTTATTTTCTCATACTTCCTATTTGCCATCTGGCATTATAATCATTCCAACCAAGTTTGAATAATTTCCTGCTGAAAATGGACAAAATATACCCAAAAGTGTTATTTCCCTATATAAACTATAATAAATTTTACCCCATTCTCAAAGGAGAAGGGATGGCCTGGGGATAATAAAACTGAAAAATAGATAAAGCCCCTGACAGAATGTACTACATCTGAGTCTGAGTCTGAGTCTGGCCCCTGGGGTTGGGGTAGGAGCCCCTATTTTAACATTGATACCATCTTCCTCCAAGGATGATTCTCACCAGGTAAGATTAGTTTCCTACTGAAAATTGCCAAAATATACCTGAAAGTGTTATTTCCCTTATATAAACTGTAGTTAACTTTACCCCCTCCCCAAGGGAGAACGGATAGCTCTGGGGTACTTGAATTTACAATTTAAACCTCTGAGTCTGGAGAAGAAGATTTTTGAAATTGGTTAATTTTCCCTTTGGGCGCCTGGCCCCTAGGGTTGGGGCAGGAATCTCAATTTTACAATTTGATACCATCTTCCTTCAAGGATGATTCTCAGTCACCAAGTAAGATTTATACCCAAAAGTGTTATTTCCCAATATAAACTATAGTAAATTTTACCCCCTCCCCAAGGGAGAACAGATGGCCGTGGGGTACTGAAATTTACAATTTAAATAAAGCCCCTGATGATTTTTCCATCAATGCAGAGAAATTGACTATAGCACCTCTGAGTCTGGAGTATAAGATTTTTGAAATATTGGTTAACTCTCCCTTTGGGGCCCCGCCCTGGCCCCTGGAGCTGGGGTAGGTATCTCAATTTTACAATTTTGTAGCCTCATCTACCAAGGATGATTCTGACCAGAAGAAATCGAAAATGCAAAAAGTTTACGCATGACGACAGACGAAAAGCGATCAGAATAGGTCACTTGAGCAAAGCTCAGGTGTCCTAAAAAAGAACAATATATAGAACGAAACCATGTCTGACATATTCAAAATATATAAAAGAAAGCCGATTAATTAGCTATATGATAGTGATGAGTTGGCTATAGCGCACACAGTAGCATAAACAGTTATGAGAGTTACAGTTGGTATTGTGAATCCAAGCGCGAAACTGTTCTCTATGGTGCATTTATGTGTACGTTTCCCCTATAATGGAAACTCTCACAGCCGCTTGACCTACATTCACAGCGTCGCGAGTGATCAGCAAAATACAATTATATTGGGTCTATATGTGAACCATGGATCTATTCATCTTATGGAAACGTGTATTAGATGTAACTGATTTGTAGGAGAGTAAATTTAACTACTCTAGAAAGGTCTCATTTCAAGACCTCGTTTTATGGGAAAGGGCGTACAACCTGATACAGATCGTCTCGAAACCATACCACGGGTGGTAGATGACTCTCGGTAATGTAAATATTGTCCATGTCAAGGCCCGGTCACACAGCCTTTCGCGTCTGTATCGCGGGTAAAATTTCGCGATTNGCAAGACGAGGTCATTACGGTGACGGGGATCCATGTTCACCCCTTGACGTCTGGAGCACAACTGACGAATGCTCGGCAAATCGCGCTTTTTATATACCTAAAATCAGACGTTGTACGGACGCGATTAGGCCGTGGACAATCGTATTTGGGACGTGTACAAGACGCAATTGAACGTGATTAGGCCGGTATTGGGGCGCGCTGTTTACGCGGAGAAAGGCGTTTGTCCGTGTTTACACGCGGTACACACGCTAATGCACGTGATAACAACGCGGTACAGACGCGGAACAAACGTGCTATGACCGTGCTCCACCCGCGATTACCCGCTAAAATTTCGCGTCCTACCGCGTGTAACCACGTCTTAACCGCGGCCGTAGCACGTCCTAGCACGTTCGTTCCGCGTCTGTACCGCGTCTTTACCGCGTGTGTACCACGTGTACCGCCCCCGATTACCCGCGGTCTAAATTTTTGGGCAGCCCAAAACTTTTTCGCGCGGCCAACCGCGTGTGAATTTCTTACCGCGTGTAACGACGGGTAAAGTACGGCTGTATCGCGTCTTTATCGCGACCTCAAAGCGTCCAACAGCGTCTGCTTCACGGGCAGAATTTTTTGGCCGTGATTCGGCCGCGATACGCCCGTGGAGGGCTGTGTGACCGGGCCTTTTGGCTTTATGTTGTACGGCTGGACACGGGATGGGTCTCTGATCCCCGTCCGTTCTATTGACAGAGACAATTAAATACACTTGCATTGATATCATCTTGATTTATTTATTCATATATCACAAAAAACAACATTTTAACAACAAAGCGAAAAATCCTTTGACGTCATCAGGTATCCACCCTTAGGGGGGATACTCTTCGGAGGATACCATTTCCCCATGTTAATCCAACGGGAGAAAGTGAGCCAGAACTCTGCTTTCTTCCACTTCTGATTGGAACAAATTTCATAACACTTTATCGAGGCT